TGCTCTCTCAATTTGCTTATGGTATCACCTTTTATTGTCTAAATCATGTACCCATTTTGACTTTTTCTTGGTATATGGTGTGAGGTGTTGGACTATGCCTAGTTTCTGCTATATTGTTTTCCAGTTTTCCCAGTATTTTTTTTTGTCAAATAGTGAGTTCTTGTCCCAGAAGCTGTAGTCTTTGGGTTCATCAAAAAGTAGACTACTATAGTCATTGAACACAGTGTCTTGTGTACCTAACCTCTTCCACTGATCTATCGCTCTATTTTTTAGCCACTACCAAATAGTTTTGATGATTGCTGCTTCATAATATAGTTTTAGATCTGGTATGGCTATGCCACCTTCCTTTGCACTTTGTTTCATTAATTCCCTTGATATTCTTGACCTTTTGTTCTTCCAAATGAATTTGGTTATTTTTTTTCTAGCTCTGTAAAATATTTTTCCTAGTTTGATTGGTATGGCACTGAATAAGTAAATTAATTTTGAACTGCCATTTTTATTATATTAGCTTAGCCTACTCATGAGCAATTGATATTTTTTCCAATTATTTGGATCTGACTTTATTTGTGTAAAAAGTGTTTTATTATAAGAAATGATGAGCAGGCAGACTTCAGAAAAACCTGGAAAGATTTGTATGGACTGATGCTGAGTGAAGTGAGCAGAACCAGGAGAATATTGTACACACTAACAGCCACGTTGTGCAATGACTAACGTTGATAGATTTAGCTCTTCTCAGCAATGCAAGGATCTAAGACATCTCCGAAGGTCTCATGGTGGAAAATGCTATCCACATCCAAAGAGAGAACTATGGAGTTTGAATGCAGATCGAAGCATACTATTTGCTTTTTTTTCCCCTTTTGTTTTGTTTTGCTTTCTCTTTCTTGTGGTTCTTCCTATTGGTTCTAATTCTTCTTTACAACATCACTGATATGAAAATATGTTTAATAGGTATGTATATGTATAGCCCATATCAAATTGTGTGCCATCTTGGCGAGGGAGGAGGAGAAAAATTTAAAACTCAAAAGCTTATGGAAGTGATTGTTGATAAATCAAATAAATTAATAAAAAAAAGTGTTTTATAATTGTGTTCATATAGTTCCTGGGTTTGTCTTGGCAGGTAGACTTCCAATTGTCTACATTGTCCCATTGTCTATAGTTATTTTAAATGGAATTTTTCTTTCCATTTCTTGCTGCTGGGCTTTGTTGGTAATATATAGAAATGCTGATGTTTTATGTGGGTTTATTTTATATCCTGTAACTTTACTAAAATTGTTAATTGTTTCAAGCAGTTTTTTAGTTGATTCTCTAGGATTCTCTAAGTATACCATCATATTATCTGCCAAGAATGACAGTTTTATTTCCTCATTGTCTATTATAATTCCTTCAATTTCTTTTTTTCTCTTATTGCTAAAACTAATATTTCTAGTACAATATTGAATAATAGTGGTGATACTGGGCATCCTTGCTTCACTCCTGATCTTATTGGGAAGGCTTCTAGATTATCTCCGTTACAGATAATGCTTGCTGATGATTTTAGATAGATACTTATCATTTTAAGGAAAGCTCCATTTAGTCCTATACTCTCTAGCTATTATTATTATTATTATTATTATTATTATTATATAAGGTTACAGGTCATTTTCTTTTTTATGGAATCACCTACTTTATATGGACTCCTGAGGGGAAATGCAAAAAGGTAAATAGAAGATGCCTGTGTTCCTACCAGGATGTGGGACTAGAATATCTTTTCACAATGCAATCTGTGCATTACCTTCTGAGCTGAGTATGAGTTGCTTCAGAGCCCTGGTCCCCTCCTTCTCACAACCTGGCCTGTATTTCCCATGGCTCCCAGCCTCCTGGTACCTTAGCCTAGTATCTGAATAACTCACTTAATTTAGGGCTTAAATATGCACATCATAACTTTATTATTCAACACAGGGCTTAAAAGATGCATATCATAACTTTATCAACATGGCTTTACTCTTCTTCCTATTAAGATTCTCCTCTCCTTCCTAGCTTTCAGTGGCCCCCAAAAAGACTATAGACACTAATTTATGTTATATATTAGAATTAGAGTATGAGTAGCTAGGTGGCACAGTAGATGGAGAGCCAGGCATGGAATCAGGAAGACCTGAGTTCAATTTGTCCTCAGACAATTATTATGTAAGCCTGGGCAAGTCACTTGACCCTGTTTCCTCAGTTTTCTCATCTGTAAAATGAGCTGGAGAGGGAAATGGCAAACCACTCCAGTATCTTTGCCAAGAAAACCCCAAATGGGGTCATGAAGAGTCAGACACAACTGAAATGACTGAACAACAACAATAACAAAATTAGAGTATATTTACTAAGTGAAACCGGAAAAATAAAAGATACATGAAAACTTTTGAGTAGCTCTCAGACACTCTTAGAAAGGTCTTCAGTCTCTTCTCTCTGGTGGTTGTAGTCTATTCCATAAAGATCTAAGTTCTCAGCCAAGGATACAAAGAACCCAGAGATCGTTTGCAGAGGGGAATTATCAGGCATTCCTCTCAATATCAAAGACATGAAGAGGAGAAATGGAATAATCTTACCCTGTAGAAGGGGTGGAGAGATCTTTTGAGCAGGCAAGTGATAGGGTCAGACCCATGCTTTAGGAATATCATTTACCCAGCTGGTATGGAGGATGAATTTGAGAGGGGAAGAGACTTGAGCCAAGCTGAACAATTAGGAGCCTAATGCAATAGCCTGGTGAGAAGTGATAAGAGTTTGAATGAGGTCAGTTGACCATTTGAGTGGAGAGACACACAAGTACAAGAGCTATGGAGAAAGAATTTTTAAGACTTGACAACCATGAGTGAGAGGGGCAAGTTAACTACTTAGGAAGCAGAGACAAGAAGTGTGGAATAAGTGAGATCCCTGGCTTTGGAAGGATTAACAAAGGAGGGCCCCCAGGGAGCCAAACAACTCCGGGACTAGTTGAGTTTTGACTTATTGTCTGAATTTTGGGCCCTTAGAGGGAAAAAAGGGTTGGGTTTTTAGGGTTTTGTTTTTTTCTTTAATCTTTCCACCTTTAGCTGAACTTCAATGGGATTGAGAACTAGAAGGGGCCTTAGAGAGACAGTGAAAACACAGTGGTTCAAACTTTGCTCTTGAAAGCATGCTGTTTTTTTTAGCGTCAGAGAAATGGGTTCAAATCCTTGTGAGCTGGCTAAGTCACTTAACTTTTCTGGGTTTCAATTGCCTCATCTATCAAGTGAGGGGGTTGGACTAGATCAGTGCTTCCTACACTTTTCCCCAGGCTCTCGACTCCTTTTCCGGTTTTGTTTTGTTTTTTTTTGTTTTTGTTTTGTTTTTTTGTTTTTTTGTTTTGTTGTTATTGGGGTTTTTTGGGACAGCATTGGTTGGCTTTCTCGGCCTGAGGGCATGCACGATGCAAAGTGTGCGCGCTTTGTGTTCAGAACTAAGGTTGCAGTGAATTTGCATGCAACATGGGCAAACACTGCCAGAAACACCTCAGATTCATTATGTGCTTGATTTTTAATTAATTTTCGATTGTTGCTCATTCAGAAACCTTTTACTGTTACCAAACTTTTTGCAACCCCATGTGGGATAGCAACCCACAGTTTAAGAAGCACTGGACTAGATGATATCTAAGGTCTCTTCCTGATCTACAGCTATGATCTTGTATTTATAGATGAGCAAACTAAGGCTCTGAGACACCTGTCAGGTGAAACGACTTGTCCCAGGTCACACAGAAAAGTTAGCAGTTGAAATAAAGGCTGTCCTGCAGCCAATATGCATCTTGTACCTTGAGTGTTTATATAGGAGTTGGGGATCCCTTTATTAATTTTTAGGGAAATCCAGACACAAGCTGTACCTTGAGTACGTTAAGAGATTTTCCTGGATCAACTTCAGGTGAACTCTCAAAAGAAATGGGTAAAGTCTGAAGAGTAGTTGTTTTAGGTGTGTATGGGGCAAAGATAATGAGTTCCTTTTGGGATATGTTGAGTTTGAGATGTGGTTGGAAAACCAGATGGCTGTGTCCAAAAGGCTGTTGGTGATGTGGGAATGGAACTCAGAAGATTAGATCTTATAATCACCTGCATAAAGAATATAAGTGAACTCATGGGAGGTGATGGATGAGATCACCAAGAGACTGAAGAGAGAGAAGAGGGTTCAGGACAGAGCCTTGGAGAGCCAACCACAGTTGTTGGTGAGAGATGGATGGTACTCCATTAAAGGAGACTGAAGATTGGTCAGATGTAGAATTAGAAGGTAGAGATAAGAAAACCTAAGGGAAAAAGAAAATGGCAGGGAGGGGAAAGGAATCAACAATGTCAAATGTCCCTCAATTAATGGGTCCTCTCACGATCAGACTATCTGGGTCTATAGCAATCCGGAGTTGTAAAGGGGAGTAAGGGCTGTGTCCTCCTTCAGACCTGAGGGCTCTTGGAAGGATAGAGCTTTGTCTTCTCTCTCACACTAGGACTCCTTGAGGACTGGACTGAGGCTACTCCACTCAGACTAGAGGCTCCCCTCCAGACAGGCCAAGAGACTCCCTAAGGAGTGGTCCCTGAGGTCAGGGATGGATCTTCCTTTCATTTCAGGGGCACCCTAAGAGCAGGGTTGTGTTTTCCCTCTGACAGGAGGCTCCCTGAGGGCAAGACTTTAATCTCCTCTTCAGATCAACCACTCTTAGAGGGTAGGGCTGGGTTTCTTCCCCAAACTGGAGGCTCCCTGAGGGCAGGGCTGTGTTTCTCCCCTAGAATGGAAGCTCCCTGAGGGCAGAACCCTAGTTTCCCCTCAGACTCCAGGCTGTCTGAGGGCAGGGATATGTCTCACCTAAGTCTGGATGACCTGGGCTAGAGCTAAAATGGGACCAGCAACCGCCACGTGGGGGCGTGGGAGACCCTAGGGGGGCGGAGACCCTGGGGGGAGGGGAGGGGCTGGGGGTCCCCAGTCCGGGAGGGGGGGCTCTGAGGTGGGGGGGCCGGAAGCGGAAGTGGAGCTGCACTTCCGGCCCTCAGCGGGGCGGCCATGTTGGAGCGGCGGAGGCGGCGCAGAGGCTGGTCCCGGGTCCCCGCGGCGGCGGCCGGTAGGTGTTGGGCCCACGGGACCGAGCCGGCCCGGGCCGTCCAGAGGGGGCGCTGGGCCCGGGGCCTGGCCATGGCGGCGGCAGCGGCGGCTCAGTCTGCCGGGCCGGGCCGCAGGCAGCGCCGAGGGGGCGGGGCTGGGGGCGCCTCAGAGCCCCTCCCCCACTCCAGCCCCCCCTCCCCCTCCCGCCCTCCCCTGCCCTCCCCTCCTTTCCCGGCCCCGTGCCACCCCCAGCGCCCACCGCCCTCCCCTCATAAGTCCCTCCACAGTCATAGCTCTCCACCCGCAACTCCCCCATTCTTACATCCTTTCGGGTCCTTCCACCCCCATAACGCTCCCAACCTCCACGACCCCCAGATTTCCTGCCCCTCCCACCCTCTTCTTTATTCACCTTATCCCACCCTTTTCACGCATACATACCAGGCGCCCCGGGAGCAAGATCTGGCTGACCCCACACCTTAAAGACTGGGACTCTCTGCTCATACACACTTCTCCATTTTTTACTTTTCCACTGCCTTGTTCTCGCCCCAGGCTCCCTTGGCCACATCCTTTTCATCCTCATCTCCATCCTTATTCTCATCTTCATCCTTGTTATCCCCATCCCTAACCCGATTATCATCCCCTTTCCTATCCTATCCTCATCTCTATCCCCACCACCTTCAGCATCACTGTTCTCATCCCCATCCCCATTCCCATCCCTATTCCCATCTCCATCCCCATCACCATTCCCATCCTTATCCCTACCCCTGTCTTCATCCCCATCCCTGTCTTTTCTTGAACCCAGCCATACTCCATCCTGTTGTACTCCTCATAAAGTTCAGATATCCCAGCTTCCTGTGCTGGTTCATGTGCCTCAGCCTTGGAGCCCTCTGTATCCTCAGGTTTCTTCTCTCAGTACTCCATATATTCATCAAGGTCACACCCCCTCAAAAACAAAACAAAAGAAAACAACAACTTGGACCAGGCATCTTCCTCATTTACTTCTCATTTAGGCTTTCTGAATCAGGAACCTCCCCTCCCCAACTTCTCACCTGTGGAGCCTCCCAAACCCATGGACCTATAGAACATCCACTGTCTTTCTTGAGTTCCCCGTAGGGGCTTTATGCTTCCTCCTCCCAGGTGTTCCTCTCCAGTCTCCCCAAGCTTCTGTATGACCTTGGGCAAGTAAGTGACTTCCCCTTTTTGAGCCTCAATTTTCCCGTCTGTGCAGGAGTTTGAAGGTCCGATACAGCTCTAAATCTAGGCTTCTTAATCTCCCTTCCAGTTTGTACCTTCTAAGATTCTGTGATCCCTTCACTGGTTCTAATCTATTTTAGGCCCCTATATCTGTGTCCTCTCACATGTTCACACCTCAGGCCCACTCCTTTCTCCTTGAGGCCTAGTTGGAAGGCCTAAGGCACCTTGAAGTGCTTCAGAATAACTTTTATCTGGTTCCTTTGTGAGCCTCTGAAGCCTGTGATAGTCTAGGCTTCTGGAAAGCCAGGGTCCTCTCCAAACCAGCCACAGTGGGAAGGTGCTCGAGTAGGAAAGCCTGGATGGGATGACCCTCAGCTCAAAGGTCAGGCAGACAAAACAACCCGTGAAAGCGCAAGACTCTCTCTTTTCCCCTCCCCCCTCCACGTGCCCAGTCCCAGGACCCTGAAACTTCCCTTTTTTCCACTTCCAAATTCAGATCCAATAAAGGGCTAAGGTCCTATGAAGGAAAAAAAGATTGTTTGTGGTTTAATGGGGGTGGGGGTAGGGTGGGGTGTCACTATTACTGGCTCAGCCTGCTGCTGCCAGAGCCTAAAGGAATGTTTCTAAACAAAGAGGTGACAATTGTTGCTTCTGGGAATAAAATAATCTACCAGGAGTTTTCAGATTGTTACCTGAGCCCATTAGGACTAAGAGAAGTGTATGTGTATGCTGGAGAGACAGCTCCTGGTGTAGGTGTGCATAGGGAATACTACTTAGGGCTCTGCCTGGGATCCCACAGCCCTAAGCTGCTATTGATCTTTTAATGAGTTAGCTGAAGCTGGGGAGGTTGCTCCTGTCCCTGGGCCCATAGGCCCCTGGGAGCAGTGGTATTACACAAATACTTCCCCTTACTTCCCTTTCTGCTCTAAGCTGAGTCTGTTTGTGGTCAGTGCTGAAGAAGTCAGTCACTCCAAGCAGTGCCCAAGCAGCAGGCTGCAGTTGGGTAGATGGGGATCCCCTTTGCCCCCAGGAACCTGGTGCTTATCTGGATGGATGATTGGTGGTAATGAAAGCCACCTGAGGTCTGAGGAGTTGCAGAAGTCTGGAAACATTTCCTATTGCTAATGAAAAAGAAAGCCTCAGTCTGACTCCACTATCCCAACAACTGGGCCCAAGGAGGCTCTTCTACCAAGGATTTTGGGCCAAGCCCAGGCCCAGGGCTTCCTGCCAGGCTTTGGATGGCCTGCCCTTTGATTGTCTCCCTGGCTCTGAATTTGCCCTGGAAGAGGATGGGGAGGTTTCCTGCTTACATGCCTCTCTCTGGGAAGGAACCTGTGAATCATGGGGTGAATTGTAGTTCTCTTGGCTTCTGGCTTTCTTGGGAGGAATGGGGTGGCAGTTTCCCTGGGTGCCATCAGAGGAGAGGGGTGAAAAGGCAAAATGTAGCCTTAGACTGAGGGCCCTTCCCATTGCCAGGCTGGAGTGTGCGAGTAGCTTACTCCTCAGTTTCTTCCAGGTTTGAAAGAGATTCTTATCTTTCCATTTACCCTATAAGTAATTTTGGGGTCCTTAAGGATAAGAAAGCCTTGACTTCTCATTCCTTTTGGCCAGGCTCTGAAAAACATAAGTACTAGGACTTAGAGACATGCTTAACAGCCAAGCAAGAGTCAGAAGCCCTGAATTTGGATCCCAACTCGTTTTGTACATGTTACTTGACCTCACTGGGCCTCAGTTTCCTCATTTGTAAAATAAGGAAGTTGACCTAGATGCTTCTTCCAAATCTAAATTTATTATCCTTTGAACCCTTGCAGCTAATATTCTTTCTCAGAAATCATCGAGCACAACCCTCTCATTTTATTAGGGGGAAAAAAATCCCATACGGTCAAGTGACTTCTCTGAAATCACTCTGGTTTTAAGTAGCAGAACTGGACTTTCCAATATTCCAGCTTAAAGTCCTATGATTCTTTAGATTATTTCCTCAGTGTAGGTCTCAGTTTCCTTCCAGAAAAAAGGAAAAGGTTGAACTAGATAATTCCTAGGGCTCCTTCAAGCTCTAAATTTACTGACACCATGAGATCACTCTTTCCCCTGAGGTAGGAGGAGGAGACAAAAGAGTCTACTATGGCCTACCTTTGGGCTTCTTTCCTCTTTTTGTCACCTGGGGATATTGATTCTTAAACTACATACCTCACAGGAATGTTGTGAGGATAAATTTGAGTCATAGAAATAGCTGTGCTTTAGTGGAAATAGCATTAAACCAGAAAGAAGGAAACATGGATTTAAATCTTGACTATGTGACCATGGGCAAGTCATTTTTCTCTAAGCCTCAATTTCGTCATCATTAAAATGGGTATAATACACAAACTACGCCTCTCCCCGGGTTGTTGTAAGGAAAATACTTTGTAAACTTTAAAGGAATATGTAAATGAGGTGTAATTACAGATTTGAGGCCCACAGAGGGGAAATGACTTGACTAATATCACAGGACTAGCAAACCCACAGCCTGAAAGATGCCTCTGGCCAAATTTCCTCAAGACTCCCAATAGCCAGCCTCCTGAGAAAGTCAGCATCCATACTGGCAGAGGCAAGATTCTTGGCCAGGTCTTTGACTAGAAGCCCTTTCCAGCCCACAGCACTTTGGGGAATGTGACCTCCCTCAGTGTTCCCAGTTTGTTTCCCCCAACCCCTGAGACCTGTGGGCAGGTCTCTTCCCCTGCCTTGCAAAAGTCAAGTCAACCTGTTCCCATTCCCTAAACTCTTGATGCCTCTTACGTTCTTCCCTCCAGGTACTTCCCGGCATGGATTTTCTTGGGTTGACAGATGGTAAGCAGCTTCCTCCCTAAGCTGTAACCTCTTCCCAAGTCCCAGCCCACCTATTGCAATTCACCTTTCCATTAGGCACCTCCCCTCACTCCAAGGGCTTGAGAGTCGGCTTTGACTCTGCCTTCTTCCTCATGCCGCAAGTCCATTCAGCAAGTGTTTATTAAATGTCCACTACATGCCCAGCACTTTGCTAGGGATACAAAGACAAAAACAAACAGTCCCTGCCTTCCAAGAGCTTATATTCCAGTGAGAGTAAATAACCTGAACACAAATGAGTGCTGTGAAGTGTGAACAAAGTAAGTACAGTTTTCAGGGGAGGACCTGGCTCTGGGGCTGGAGTCAGGAAAGGCCTCGAATACAAGGTGGCACTTCAGCTGCTCTTCAGCTGCTCACCAGCTGTACGAAAATGCAGAGATGGGCTTGGCAGCTAGGCCAGTTTGGCTGAAACAAAGAGTAAGTGAGAGTAACGTATAATAAATGAGGAAAGATAGGCTACAGCTGGACTGTGAAGGGCTTTAAATGCCAACTTGACAAGTTTGTCTTTGATCCTGCAGGTAAGAGGGAGCGAGTAGGTTTTCTTGAGCAGGTCAGCCCTTTGCTTTAGGAGCATTTATGGAGGTTATATTGGAGAGGGGAGATATTAGAGGCACGGAAGGGCAATTAGGAGGCAGTTGCAGTAGTCTAGGTAAGAGGTGATGAGGGCCTGAACTAGGTTGATGGCCATGTAAAGAGGGACAAGAGGATAAATTTGAGAGATGTTGTGGAGGTAGAAATAAGATCTGGCAAGTAATTAGAAAGGATAGGTGAGGGAGAGAGAATAATTGAGGATTACTTGGAGGTTGTGAACTTAAGTAAGTAGAAGGATTGTGATACCCTTAACAGAAACAGGAAAGTTAGGAGAAGGAATGGTGTGGGGGGAAAGAGAGTGAATTCTATATCGGACATACTGATTTTAAGATGTCTACCAGGGCACCCCTTTGCAAATGTCCAATGGGTAAGTTGGTGACGCAAGACGCTAACTCATGAGAGAGACTACCATAGATCTCAGAGTCATATGCAAGAGATGACAATTGAACATATAGGAACTGATGAATTTACTGGGAGTAAGCAAAGAAATCAGGGCTCTGGACAGAAACCTGGGGTGCATTCACACAGAGGAGGATCATGAGCCTACCAAAAGTACTGAAGAGGAGTGGCCAGTTGGTAAGAGGAGAACCAGGAAAGAGATGGTATGAAAACTCAGTGGGGGAGAAAATATCCAGGACAAAAGGGTGGTCGAAAATGTTAAGTGCTGCCTAAAGAACGAGAAGGATGAGAACTGAGAAGAATCCATTAGATCTGACAGTAGATAACTTATATACTAGAGACACTTGGACTGAGAGGAAATAAATGCAGAGTTCAGGAAACAGGTTACAGACCAGGTATGGAGATAAGATATAGTAGAAGTAGTAGGGGACCTTAATTATCTGGATGTATTTTTTTTTAATCATTGGTAATTTTGGAAAGAGCAATTTCGTTTGAGTAATAAGGTTGCAACCCATATTTCAAAGGGTTGAGATGTGAGTGAGAGGAGAGTAAGTAGAGTGTAGACTGAGTTTTTCTAGTTTAGTTGTGAACAGATGGAGATATGTAGTAGAAATAGGGGATCTGAAAAAAAGTTGTTTTTTTTTTAAGGATAAGAAAAACTTGGGCATGTTTGTAGTCAGTAGAGAAGGAGCCAGTGTGTAAGGAGGGATTGAAAATTAAGAGAGGTTATAGGACCAAGCTGCTGGAAGAGGTAAGAAAATATAAGATCAAGGCTACAAGTAGAAGGATTGGCCATGGCAATGAAAAAGGACATCTCTTTATCAGAGGCTGGATTAAAGGAAGAGAAGATGGGGCATAACATCTAGGGAGTTTGAGATAGAAAAGGCAGCTCAGGTTAGCTCTGTTTTATCAATAGATGATGAGACAGAGGAAAAGAAAGAAGAAAGAAAAGGGAGGAGGTATGAGGAAGGGAAGAAGGTATGATGTGAGGTTTAAGTTTGGAACATCTATCTATTGGGGATGTGCAGTAGAGAATCAAGAGAGAGTCAGAGGATTGCCTTGCTGCTTTGAGGGCTAAGTAGAGATTAAATAGCATGGATTTGCAGTGGATCCGAGCAGCATGGTTCAGCAGCACCTGGATAGGAGCAGAGATCTCCATTCAACCTGTGTGTGTCCTCTGTTTCCTGCACACAGCGTTGGCACAACCCTAATTGCATTTCTTATCATCCCTGACTTGTTCTGTTGATAATCTCCTTACCAGTCTTCCTGCTTCTAATGGCTTTCCTCTCCAGTTCATCTTTCCTAAAGATTCCCAAATAACCTTCTTGTGAGACAGGTCTGACCTTATCACTCTCCTTCCCAAAAACCTTCAGAGGTTCTCTTGTGCATGTAGGGCCAAAGAAGAATTTACCCTGACATTGAAGGCCCTCCATAATTTTGTTACCACTGTCCTTTTCCATACTGTCTTAATACAGTTCCCTTCACACACTCCAGCCAAAATCCAGCCATACTGGAGGACTAACTGTTCTCTAATCTTAGCCTGTCATGCTTCAGGCTTGAACTGTATTCCCCACTCTTCTTCACCTGTTAATTCTTCTCTTTCCTCAAGGCCTAGCTCAGGTGTCAGTCTTCTCTGAACCTCTCCAGTTAAAAGTATTCTTTCCTTCAGATTTTCCCTAGAGTATGTGGTTTGGATCTTTCCTTTGTCCCTGCTGTTCTTTACCGTGTATTATCCAGGTATGGGGAACCTGTGGCCTCTAGGTCCTTAGGTATGGCCTTTTGCCTGAGTCCCAGGTTTTACAGAAAAAATCCTTTTATTAAGGGAGTTTGTTCCCTGAAGTTTGGATTCTGTCAAAGGGCTGCACTTGAGGCCACAGGTTCCCCACCCCTATATACTTCAATTAAAGTCAAAAGACATGACTATATGCAAGGCATTATATTGGGTCCTGAGGATTCATGAGAAAAAAAAGGCCCTCCTCTCAAGGATCGTATAACTTAATGATACACCGTGTACCAGATAAATAAGCAGAAAGTCATAGAAAGTCATGTCCTGAGGGACAGAGCACTAACAACTGGGGTGATTTGGAAAGACCTCAGGCAGAGGCTGGCTCCAGTGCTGTGCTTTGAAGGAAGCTAGGGATTCTCGGAGGCAGATATAAGGAGAGAGTCCATTTCTGACATTGGGGATCACATGTTCACAGGTATGAAAAAGGGAGATGAAATGTGTTATACAGGCAGCAGCTATTAGACTAACTTGGAGTAGAAAGTTCATGAAGGGAGTACCATGAAATAAGACTAGAAAGGGTAGGGAGCTTCTAGATTTTTGAGATCTTTAAATGCCAGGCTGAGGAGCTCCTATTTTGTCCTAGAGGCAATAGAGAACCACTTGACTAAGGTCTTTTGAGTTGGGAGTGATAGGGGTCAGATATGCAGTTTTAGGAATCTCAATCTGGCCACTCTGTGAAGGATAGTTTGTAAAAGGAGAGACTAGGCTGAGGGAGAGTCATTAGGAGGTTAGTGAGATGGTATAGGTTAGAAGTGACCAGCACCTGAATTAGGGTGGGGACTGTGTGAATAGAGAGAAGACTGATGTGACAGATTCTGAAGACAGAGAATCAACAACCCTAGGCAACTGATTGGATGCTGAGTGTGAGAGGGAAAGAAGAGTCAAGTGACTGTTATGGCTAGGGGTACCCTTAATAGAAGTAGGGAAATTTTGAGGCAGGATGTAGGGGGAAATTAGGAGTTCTGTGGTAGAAATGGTGCATTGGAGATATCTGCAAGAAGAAACAAAAGAGGGTCACTGAAGCATTTTTTTTTAATGCGGAGAAGAGAACAGAAGGAACGCCAGAAAGAAGCAGAAACAAGCATGATATCTTTGAATGTACTAAATACCTATACTAAAAAAGAGAAACAAAACTGTACATATTAGAGATCGTCAAGTTTCAAGTACAGTGTTCTTTTGGTATTCTGCTATTAAGTGAAAATGTTCATTTTATTTGCTCTTTAATTCAGAATAAACAAAAATTTAAGTCTAGTTTGTATTATGGGTACTCTGGAGTTCAGGAGATAGATCAGGACTAGATATCCAGATTTGGGAGTCATTTGCGTAGAGATGAAAGTTGAAGCCATGGTACTGATGAGATCACTAAAGAAGAGTGTTGAGAAAGAAGAGAAGAGGGCCCAGGACAGAGGCATGAGTAATGCTCAGATGATCCAGCCAAGGTGACCAAGGGCAGCTGTCAGGCAGCGAGGACAAAAGCCAAGCAAGCGGCGTTAAAGAAGCGTAGGGAGGAAGGTGATCCACAGGGTCAGAACTGACTGAGGACAGCAAGCAGACTAAAAACTAGGGAATTAGTTTGGGAGATAATATCATAGGATCATACGTTTAGAATTGGAAGGGACCTTGGGCTACAGAGCCACCTCATTTTACTGATGAGGAAACTGAGGCACACAGAGGTTAATCACACAGCTAGTAAGTTTCCGAGATGGGATTTGAGCTGAGGATGTTGTAGACTTTGGAGAGTGTGTACGTCTTAAATCAAGCAACTAAAAACATTTGTGAAGTGCCTGGCACTGGGGATAGTGAGAGTAGTCTGTGCCATCAGAAAGTAGGCATTCTACAACATGTCCATGGATGCATAAATAGAAGATAGAGATTAACTAAATAGCTAATAATTGAGGGGATAGGAAAGGGGCTCAGGAAAAACTTCCTGAAGGAAGTGACACCTGAGCTGAACAGGTGATCTGGGGGAGCTTTCAGGCCAGTAAGGCAAGGGATCCTCTCTCCCCACCCCCCTCCCCTAGAATGTAAGCTCCTCAAGGGCAGGGCCTGTGTCAGTTTTCATCTTTCCCTAGGGCTGGAACTAGTACAATAGACAATAAATGTTTAAGGTGAATTATCTTCTGAAGACATCCTTTCTGAAGGCTGCACTGAGGCTGTGATTATGTTGTCCTTAATTGGGCTTCCTCTTTTTCTTTGAGGTGTCAAGCACTGGTTTGTGGGCCCTGGACAGCTCTTCACAGCCTAATGCCATGAATGTGGAGGTGGATAATGTGGAGGAGAAAGCTGTCCATTCATGGTCCAGAATCTCCTCTGCAGGACAGAAAGCCTTGGAGGAAGCACTCCTGGTCTTCAACCCCATGTCCAAGGACCTCAGTGACACGGAGGCCCAACTTGTGGCCTTTCTCCAAGGTCTCCGGGAGGAGGGCTACCAGCCTACTATCCTTCGGAGCAAGGATGTGTATGGCTATAGCTCCTGCACAGCCGATCCCCCCAGCCAAACCAAACACCACGTTGGCCCTGCTGCTCAGGCCAAACCGCTGCCCTCGGACGTTCCCAAAGCCACTTCCAGGAGCCTGCTGGCTGTCCCAGGGACCATCCTGGGGAGGTCTTCTAAGGTCTCTAGTTCCCCAATAATCAAAACCAGCTCCACCAACCTTTTGTTGAACTCCCTGAAACAGTCAGGCTCAGGCAGTGGCAAGAACTCATCTGTGGGCTTCCCTACCCACATGTACCCTGGGGTATACCCGGCTATGCGGCTCTCTGTTGTTCTGGAAGCCTTGGTCCCTTTAAAGGCTACAGCATCCTGTTTAAACTCCAAGTACAAGCCTCTGGGGATCTCACATTCAGACCTTAAGCTGCTGAAGGGCTCAGGGAGATCCCGGCAATCAGCTCCCAACAAAACCACTAATAAAGGGCACCGGTGTTTGATCCGGAAGGCACCAGACCGGGCTGCCCTCTCAAAGGGTGGACGACGGGGCCCCAGTGGTGGCGTCCTTCGAGAGAGCAACGCCTGCAAAGCTTCAGGCATTCTAAATGGTAGGCGTCGAAAGAAGGGGACCCAGACGAAGACTTCTAAGAGCGGGGCCAGGACTGCCTGTAGGGGTGGCAGAGGCAGCCATCCAGAAGCCACAGGGCCAAAGAGGAAAAGGTCAGAGGAGGCTAAAGAAACCCCAGCAAAGAAGAAGAGCAAGTTGGGGCCTGGACTAAGCAAAGCTAGGCTAGTGCCAAGCTCACCAAACCTCCTGAAGTTCCGGGTCATCAAAGTGAATAAACGATTCTCTGATGAGGAGGTGCGGCAGAGAGCACAGAAGATCCTGAGAGTCAATTTGTCTCCAGTGATCCGGATCCAGCCACTGCCCCATTCTGTCTCCTGATTGACTCAAGGTCCAGTTCAGGGCCCATTTCCCTCTGACCCAGCCAGTCCATACACCACTGCCCCTCTTCCCCCCCAACTCATCCACCCTCCCCTGTGGGAAGGGGGAGTGAGAAACTTTGATTCTCCTTCTGGTGGCTGGAGCAGCATGGGTGTTGGGTGACAATGTGTTAGCTGATACCTGCGGACTCTGGGCAGCTTGCTCCTCCTGTTTCAGGCTTTCTGGCTAGCAGGCCTCTGGGACTGCCTGCCCGGCTCTGAGCCACGTTCAGAAATGCAGGGAGATGCCTCCCCCGTCCTAAGGGAGAGAGCAGGGTCTAACTACCCACTCTCAAAGAGCCACTTATGGCTTCACCCCAACAGACCTTCCCCAAACCCTTGGGGGAGGCGGTTTTGTCATGACGTGATGCACTGTGATTTGTTATTTTCCAAGCTCTATGTTTACTGATTTCATTTTGATCAAGTTTTATATCTTTATATGCCCCCATTCCCCTACCCCAACCCAGTGTCTGCCTCCTCCATCAGGGTCAGAATTGGGGTCTCCTCCCTCTTTTCAGAATGCATTTACAACTTCTCTTGTTTTGGGTCCACTTCATGCTTCCAGGAAAGTTGCCACTGAAGGAGTAGAGAGTGGATTGGTTTCAGTAACAGGTTAATTGACAGCCCCTGGCACTTTTCCTTCTAAACTAGTGCCAGGGGGCAGGCCTGCAGCCGGCCTACCTAGATGACCATCCCCTTAAGTCCATTGATCTCGGTAAGGCATCTCCTCAGTGCTGTTGGAAGTGCGGCAGAGGGAGCCAGTGTATAAGCTGGCAGGTAATATAGTGTTTGTGATTTGTTTTGGCTTCCTCTGGGTGGTTATAGAAGTCTCTGCTTTCTTGGAGTTTGCTTCTGTGGGTAAATCTGGGCAGAGGCTGGCTCACTCACCCATCCTGAGACAGCCTGGGCTTGGGCCTCGTGAGTAAAAAGGAGAGAGTCAGATGACTAGGCTCTTCTTTCTGCAAGATCATGGGGGAGCCTGCCAGGTGAGTATAGAATTGTGACCGTAGAGCTGATAATCTAGGCCAAGAGAGGAAAAGAGGATTTTTTTTTTTGGCCTACTTCTTCCCAGGGGGACAGAACCAGACAGTGACTCCTTGTCTCCCATCCTTGCACACCATGAGTCTATGGGCAACCATCCAGAGCCTCAAGGCCTTTCCTCAGGGCTGCTGTTTCCCTCCTGGCTGCTACTTTCCCCCCAGGGCCTTATCTCTAAATCCCTGCAGCTAGACCTTGAGGAATTGTGGCTGTCTAGCCCCAGCCTTTCTTCCCCTCTTTCCCTTCATCCTTCCCCAGAATCTGGTCCCCCCTCCCTTCCTTTCCACCAGTCATACTCTAGGGTCTTGGCTCTGGGAGTATGTGTGGAGGGAGGGGGAATGGGGAGAGAGATGTTTAGTCTCTTCCCACTTGGAACAAAGGGATGATTGGAAGTAGGAATGGCCTGGAGCACCAATGGTCATTGTGTCTCAGGACCAAGACTTTGAGGCCTTAATCCACCTTAGACCCCATTGTGGGCCTGTGGAACAGAGCTGGAAGCGATGGAGCCAGGTTAAGCCATGCCCCTTCCCCATCAGGGGAGTACTCTGTTTCCGGGTTGGCCCCCAGTGCCAGTCAGGCAACGGCAGCTGCAAAGAGCGCCTCTGTGGATGGGTTGATACAGGTTTGGGGCCTGTGGGTGAAGTTCTCCACTATCCTCACTTTCATAGAAGTTGGGGAGGATGAGGTAATGACTGAAAGGCTTGGTCACCTCCATGGCAGTGGAAAGTATTTCCCAACTGGACCCCGGACTCTCAGATGGGGGGCTGAGCTGGCACTCCCCCCCTCAGATTTGAATCCAAACAGTGTCCCCTTCCCCCTTCATCCTGCCCTCAAGTCATCCACCCTCCCCTTGTGGGTCCCTCAGAGTCCATAGTGGCAGTGGTGGATGCGGAGCCTAGGAGGCAGGTCACCATTCCTTCCCTGGTTGGTGTCCTTTGTGACTTTGGGAAACTCGAGGACCAGACCCTCATCCCTGCTGCGTGTTCATTGGTTTGTTTGTGACGTCTCCACGGATGCGGATCTGTGATGTTTGGTATGCAGCTGTGGCCTGTGAAGAGTGCAACTGACTTCAGGGGAAAGCCCTCAGGCCTCTGGGGTCTGAGGTGTTGCCTGCATTTAAGTTAAATGGGAATTATTGACCACTTGCAGGCCACTTGTTCTGCTGTCCTCAGTAAATGGTGCTTCATCCTCTGCATCTGTGTCTGAGTACTTTTTCCCAGACCTTCCCAGAGAGGAGCTGGAATTTGAAGGGGTTGGAGGTGGGGAGTGGGGACCTGCTGGGGATGAGAAGTGAGAATGCAGAAGTGGAAAATTGAGGAAGGCTAGAAGGTTTTAGGAGAAAAATGGGAGGCCCTTATTTCTCTTTCTCCCTAGAGTAATAGCAGGTAATCTCCATGGGCTGGCCCACTAGAGGCAGGAACTCCAGCAAATGGGGGGGGGTCATAGATTGAGCTGGAGGGTCCAGTGTGCCCAGGAACTTTTGGGGGTGGGTCATAGGGAGAAGTTTGAGTTAGTCTTAAGGCAGGGGTACCCCAGCTGAACATCCTCCATTCTTCTGAACCCCTCCCCCATCACCACACACACACTGACTCTCACACTTCAGTCTCCTCCAAGACGCTAGGCCTTTCTGAGGCAGTTTAAGAATTTTTTCTGGCTCCTATCCCCTTCCCTGGCCCCAGACCTCTCACTGTTCAGCTTCCCTCCCCTCCCCTGGGCCCCCAGCTCTGAATGACATTCCCCAGAGGTGCCTAGAGACGCTGCTTTTCTGGGCTGGATGGGGAGGGGGTTCATTTGAATGAGAATTTGCTCCTTTCAACCCAAAGGGCTGGGGCGGGTGATGGGGAGTGGCAGTCTGTGAGAAACCTCCAGCACCTGCCTTGGCCAACACTGGTATCTGCAGCCCCAGCCTCTTCATACACACAAACATACACCTCCAGGATCTGACAGTGCTGGGCTCAAAGATGTGAGTACGGTGAGGGGGTGTGGGAGGAGAGTGGACTAGACTGGGGGTGAGGAGGCTAGCACAGGGAGGGGAGAAGTCTTTCCTCTTGCCCTCCATCTCAATTCCAGGGACAGATGGGGTGAAGTCATCTTCTTTCCCCACCCCCTCAGGACTCTGCCTGTCTCCAATTGTGCAGGACTGCACAGGTGTAGAGTCTGAACTGCAAAGGGAACAGCTTGGATTGGGGAGGGGGGTGGTCTGGTGCAGGGGCAAGTCTTGTTTTCCCCCCCACCCCACTCCCATGCTCTCTGTTTACCCCACTCCATAATAGGATCCAAGATGTGAGTTGAGGGGGTGGTCTGGGTGGGGAAAGGTTGGACTGGAAAGGGAACTGCCTGGTGGTAATAGTCTTTTCTCAGCACCCATCTCCTAGGCAAGTCTCTCGTTAACTCCTCTCTCCCCACCAGGCCCAGCAGGGGAGTGGGTAGCCTGAGCCATCTGTACTGGATAACCCCTGCTCCCCATTTCTCAGCCACAAGCCAAGTGGGATACTGTTTCATCGTGCTGCTGCTGCTAAGTAAAGAGGGTGGCCAGGGAGGAAGGGAGGAAATGGGGGGCTGAAGGTTCCCTGGTGGGGGTCGTCATTGAAAAGAAGGGTTGGAAGTTTCTCTTCAGGGTCCTGCCTCTCCTCTGATCCTCAGTACAGATACCCCATGCCTGTGCCCATGAAGTACCTGACCTTCTGCCCCGACCTGGCTGCTCTGGAGGGAGCTGTTACCCTCCCACTGGCAATCTGGTTGTGGGCAGGAGCCAGAGTCTCCACGCCTCGTCCACCTGTGGTTTGAAGGGGCCTGAGCCCTACTGCATTGTCAGCCACTTACAGGTGCGTATTGGGCCAGAGCATTCTGCACTAGCAGCCTTTGAGAATGAGGCAGGACTCCCAGAGGAAGGAGGGCCAAAGTCTGCTAAGGGACCTTTGAGGATGGTGGGGTCAGAAGCTTCTGCAGGAGATCCTCGGGAGGGGAAGTGAGCATAGGGACTTTTCTGAGGACAGGCTGTTTGGAGACCCTGACCCCTGCCTTCCTTTGCCTAGGACTCTGAGAAATGCTTCTTTTGTGACTCAAGGGGCCAGGGAGGCCATAGGATCAAGAATGTGATCTCCCTGAGCGGACCCGATGGGCAAAGAACATGGTGGCAGGCTGAGAGTGGTGAGGGGGAAGAGGAGTGGGGGGCGGGGAAGACTTGTGAGCCAATGGGATGGAGTCACCTGGTGGGCGTCAGGGTTGCTCTGACTTGGTCCTTATTGGTTCAAGGTGTGGAGAATGTCAGTATCCAGCTGGACTTGGAGGGTGAATTCTACTTCACCCATCTTATCATGACCTTCAAGGTACTGAACACTTACCTCTCCTTCAGTTTCAGATGCCGCTGCATTTTTTTTTCATGTGATCCTTGACCCCTAGGTGGGGCAGTGGTGATGGGTCTGCAGTCAGAAAAACTTGAGTTCAAATCCTGCTTCAGATGCTTACTAGCTTTGTGACCCTGGGCAAGTCACTTAACCTCTGTCTGCCTCAGTTTCCTCTTGTATAAAATAGGGATAGCAGTAGCACCTACCTCCCTGGGATGTTGTGAGGATCAAATGAGATAATTGTAAAGCAAGGACCTGGCACATAGAGCTATGTAACTGTTGTCTGTTATTACTAACACGACCCTATTCCAAGTGACCTCACTGTGGTGATTCTTGGCCTTATGCTTCTAAGTCCAGTTACTTCCTAACCTCTCACCCCCTAGTGACCTCTGACCATACTGATTCATCGCACCCTGACACACCTTTCCCTAGACTTTTCGCCCAGCTGGTCTACTCATTGAGCGTTCAGCAGATGGGGGTCGATCCTGGCGAGTTTACCGATACTTTGCTCACAACTGCTCTGGCCTCTTCCCTGGGGTTCCCCTTACACCTGGTCGCAAAGTCAGCGACCTCGTTTGTGATCAGCGTTACTCGAACATTGAACCATCAAGCCAGGGTGAGGTCAGTCCCTTGGTAAAGAAGAAGGCTGAGGAGCGGGGGTGTGGGGGTCATCAAGAGGTGGAGTTCAGTGGTCAGAATTTCAGGTCCTGTTTCCTTCCCCCATCTCAGGTAATTTTCAAAGTTCTGGACCCAGCCATCCCTGTGGAGAATCCCTATAGTCCAGAGATCCAAGGTAAGTGGCCTTTCAGATGCCCAGGCCCATGGATCACAGAAACCTCTCACCCTGAGACTTCCCCCATCTCCCCCTCATACACTGGGATATTCCCCCCCAGAAGCTGAGAGCCGCAGTGGGCACCCCCCCATAGTTCTGTGACCCCCTCTGAGAGAAGCATGCGGCCAGACAAGGTCTTCTAGTCAGAAAGAGGTTTCCTTGACAACCAAATCATTCCCTGGCTGCTCTACTTCAATCAATGCTTCCCTCTAGGCTTTAGCATTTTACAATGTTTTTGACACAGTGTATAGTTTTTCTTTTTTCTTCTGTAAAGCAAAGGCATTTAATGAAATGGTAGAGCAAACAGAGCATATTTCTTAAAGGGGCCTCAACTTTTCCTTCCCTGAACATTTTAAACAATTGTTTCTAAGAAAACTATTAACACTTTCTAAATAAAGTTACATGGTGGCATCTTTGTAGAAAGATTAGGCATGTAGAACTGCAAGCAGTTCTGCTTCTGAGACCATCTGCTTCAGACCCCATAAAGGAAGAAACTGAGGCATAGAGAGGGAAAGGGAATTAGCCCAGAGATAATCAGTGGCAAAGGTGGGAATCCAACCCAGGTCTAGTATCATTGCCAATATACCATAATCCCTTAGGGAAAGATAACACACAACTCTGGGCATAGTAAGAGGTAACAGGGCTGGGCTATTTGTTGTTCAGTCATTTTTCAGTTATGTCTGAGTCCTTATGACCGCATTTGGGGTTTTCTTGGCAGAGATACTGGAGTGGTTTGCCATGTCCTTCTCCAGCTCATATTACAGATGAGGAAACAGACAAATAGGGTGAAGTGCCTTGCCCAGGGTCTAGATTTGAACTCAGGAAGATGAGTCTTCCTGACTCCAGCCTGGCACTCTATTCATTGTGGTGCCACCTCAGATGTCCTGGACCATTTAGCAAAGGGATTAAGCTATGTCTGGAATGATCAGTCAGTGTGATTTGGTGAGGCCTGCGCAGGAGGAGTCGGGGATAAGCATTATGGGCTGGGAGAACAAAGGAGGGGAGGCCAGACTGCGCCTAATGTGTTCCAGTGAGGAGCAGGGCTTTGTTGGAGCAGAGGCTAGGAGAGCCTGTGGTCTCCAGTCACATGACATGGGCTAAGTCCTAGCACTGCCACTCATTAGACCTGTGGCCGAAGACAAATCATTTGCCCTCTCTGAACTTCCACTTTCTCCTTCTGTACTCCCAGCTGAAGACACGCTCCTAACCAATGCAAGTTGGTACCTTCCCTGCAACGTCAGGGCCTCAGAGACTCGCCCAGAACGCTGAGGGGTTGAGTGATCTGCCCAGGCTGTATGAACCAGGATGTCAGAGACAGGACTGGAACTTAGCTCTCTTGGCTTCGGGCCACTTCTCTGTTGACTACACTGTGCTGCCTCTCCAGCTATAAAACAAGAATGCTAATATTTTTTCAGTGTTAGAATGATCTCTGAACCTTAAGGCACTCTGAGTCATGGAGGTTGTACTTAGATTATGAATGGTCTCAAATATCCTGTAGGCACTGGGGAGTCATTGAAGGTTTCTGAGCAAGGGAATAACCTAGTCACATCTCTGCATTATTTTGGCACATGTGTGAAGAATAGGTTGGAGAGAAAGATGGAGTGGGGAGACAGAGGGAGACTAAGAAGGGGTGTCCAGGCTGATGTCTGCATCCCATCCATCATCACTACCCCACTCTCCCCAGAACTTCTTCGAGTTACCAACCTGAGAGTGAATTTCTCTAAACTCCACACATTGGGAGATGGGCCCCTGGGGGGCTGGGGCCACCACCATGGGCCTTACTACTACTATGCCTTGTACGAGCTTGTGGTCCGAGGAAGTTGCCTTTGCCATGGACATGCCTCTGAGTGTGCACCTGCTCCTGGTGCCCCACCTAGTGTGGATGGCATGGTGAGTGGAAGTCTCTGAGGGCACGGAGGGTCAGAGGTAAAGGAGGGGTATCTCCTTAGGGTGTGGGGGGCAGAAGGGTGCTGCTTTCTGAGGACTGAGTCTCTGGATTCTCTCTGGGGGTTGGATGCCCAGGGTCTTCATGGGGTTCAGAATCCTTACAGTCTCTTTGAGGCAGTGTTCCCAAAGTCTTACCAGCTTTACAACATTTTCAGGTCCACGGGCTTTGTGTGTGTCAGCACCAGACAGCTGGACCCCACTGTGAGCACTGCCAGGACCTGCACCATGACCAACCCTGGCACCCAGCTGAGCCTGGGAATCCTCACGCCTGCCAGGGTGGGTGCTGCTTGTCACCTTCCATAATCTGTATGCCCTTGCTATCCCCTGGGTATCTCTGACTCACCTATTTCCCTTTCTTTTCCCCTAGAGTGTGAATGCCATCAGCATGCCAGGAGTTGCCACTTTGACATAGCTGTTTTTGTGGCCTCAGGCAATGTGAGTGGAGGTGTGTGTGATGCATGTCAGCACCACACAGCAGGGAGGCACTGTGAGATCTGCCGACCCTTCTACTACAGGGACCCCCGTGAAGACCCCCGCTCCCCATATACCTGTAAACGTAAGTCCTTTGATGATGAGCCCTGGCCCCAGCTATGAACCTAACCCGTGGACCCTGGTATTTGCCACCCCATCCCAATCCTAATCTCTGACTTTGCCCATAATTTCTGAACCTGGTATTTGACCCCTTCTCCCAACTCTGTTCTTGTGTCCCCAGCTTGTGACTGTGACCCTTCAGGCACCCTGGATGGGGGTCTCTGTGACACACACACAGATGAGGTCCAGGGGCTCCTCTCTGGACAGTGTCGCTGCAAAGCCCACGTGTGGGGCCCACGCTGTGATACCTGTCGTCCTGGTTACTATGGTCTGAGCCCAGCATTACCTGAAGGTTGTTTGTGTGAGTGACCCCAGAGAATCCATGACCTTGGATTCCAAGCCCCTCAACTCAGGATACCTGATTGCTAGAGCCTGAACCTCATATAGCCTAACCTATCTTGTGACCCCTTAACCTGAGAGTTCCAGAATGTGACCCAGAATTTAGGAAGCCCCAGGCTCATGAGTCTATATTTCTTGAGCCTCTTGACACAACTCAGGACCCCATGACCCCAAGAACTACTAATAAAAGACACTCAGTCTCTATGGCCTGAGTCCAGTTGGACCCAAGGGATTCTGTGAAGTGGCCCCCAAATCCAGGGTTTCACCACTCTTGAGCCCAGGACCCCATAATCCCTGACTCCTAGAGCCCCCAAACTTGTATACCTAGTCACTGTGACTAGCTGGATACCACTCAGAGGCTGTCTGTGTAAATGACCCCTTAGCCCTGAGAGCTCTTTGACCCCCCAGCTCAGGACTCTAACTCTTAGCCCAGGGCACTATGATTTGAGCCCAGTTCTCTGAGCCTGAAGATCAGCCTCTGTGACTGTGTCTACCCCTTCCCTCCTCAGCTTCTCGCCAGGCCATCCTTTCTATCACCTTTTGACACTGTCTTTGCTCCCCTAGCCTGCAGGTGTGATCCTCGGGTACAGTCCGAGGTGACACCCCCTGTGACTCCATCAATGGTGACTGCTATTGCAAACGTTTTGTTACTGGCCAGAACTGTGACCAATGCCTGGTGAGCTCTTCTTCTTCCAGCCTGACTCTGGATACTGAAACCTAGTCTCCAACCTAGAACCCCGACTTTGACCTTCACCACTGAACTCTGATCCCTAATCCTTGTCCCCAAGACCCTCAAACCCTTGAGTCTCTGCCCTCACTCAACATCTTTGGTCCTTGTTCCACTTACTTTTGTAATAACTTCAGTTTATTCTAGCAAATTCAACACAGATGAAGCTATTCTGCTGTGTGACTTTAAATTGGTCTACCTCTAGGTCTCAGTTTTCCTATCTATAAAAAGGAGAAGGTTGTACCCAGCAATCCCCATGGACCCTCTGACATTCTGTGTTTTGTGTTCTCAGGCTCCTTCCAGCACTGATAAGTGATATATTCCATTCTTAGATCCCTTCCAGATCTGAAATACTTTGTTCTGTGCTCTGAGGGTCCTTTTAGGTCTATGGTTTTTAAGGTTCTAAATAAGCTTTTATTTTCTCCCCAAGACCCGTTGCCTGCCTAAATGGCAGCAGGATGCCTTCACATGAATTATTATTGTACAGAATAGGAAGCACTCTCAGAAAGGAGACTGCCCAAAATCACATGGCTAGTTTGTGGGAGAAACAGGATTACAAACCACATCTTCTGCTTCCAAAGTCTAGTGCTTTTTCTACTAAGCCACACTGCTTCTAGATTAGTTTATTTTTCCAATTATTATTTTAAAAATACTTTCAGTGTAATTCTTTTATTGGAAGATTGAATTTAAATATCACCCTACACTAAGTTGAAGGACGATAGAGCAAGTATTTCAAGGAAATGAAACATAAGGTACCAGTCAGTACCACCGTTGCTGATCAGCTCTTACTGGATTAATTTAGGCCTGATTAGGAGATCCTAAAACTCTCACTGAGCCAGAAGGGATTTAGAGATCTCTGAGTCATACCCCACCTCATTTTAGAGATGAGGAAACTGAAGCTCAGAGAAATCGCATAACTTGGCCAAGGTCACATGAGGAGATCTAAGATTTGAACCCACATCCCCTACTTCTTAAAATCACTCTGAATACTAACTGTGGAGTCTTATTCCAGGACTTACATACCTGATTGAGAAAGGACCTGGAACTTTAATTCTCCATGGGTAAACCAGGGGATTGTTCAAGGTCATTTCTAAGGCTTCTCTCATTGAGGGATCAGTTGACATTGGCCGGTCCTAGGAGATCACTCCTGGGCCTTCAGGAGCCAAGTCCCTCTGATTCTTTCTGTCTCAGTTGCAGACAGAGACTGACTAATTGGAGGACTGATTAAAGGACCTAGTTTATTTCTCAGGAAGGCCTCTGTGCTTCTCCTGATGCCTTGGGGTCCTCTTTCTTCAGCCTGGCATGACCAGTGCCCATAGGGGATTCTACCTGATCATCAGCCCTTATTCTCCCAAAGAACCAGTAGCATTTCTCACAACACAGCTTTGTGGCTGTCAGCTTGAGATCGTGTTTAAAATTTGCCCACACTAGTTCCCATAGCCCTTCAGTCCCATTGTGTTTTACAGCCTCTTCCAGAGAGACTAGATTTCTGGAGAAACTTGTAAGCAGACTGGTGCTCCCGTGGGGACGTTAAGGAGTACCACAGCAGTGGCATGCAGGTGGTGGTGGTGGGGATGGTGATCTCTTGACTGCCACAGAGTAAAAATATGCTCCCTGCCATGTCAGCGCCATGGGAAAAGCTCTGGATGCCTTACCCTAGTTACAGCTCGGAATGGAGACAGACTTTTTTTTTTTAAATCAACAAATTTAGACAGAAAACTTCACAAAATTTTTCAAAAGTATCAACCTCTGTCACTCCTTGGTACTGTAACTGCTCTCCCTGGCCATCTAGTTGAGATTGCAGACCTTGCTCCATGGCTCCCAGACAGAAGGCAGCATGGCTTACGGGGTGTCAGATCTTGGGGTTTAGAAACATGAGAGCTAGGTCTGCCATCAGTTGTGTGCCCCTGTGCAATTCATCTACCTTGCCTGAGCCCCAGTGGCCTTGTCTGTAAAATGGGGATAATGATAGCCATATCATCTACCTGGAGGGAATGTCGTGAGGAAAGTCCTTTGTAAGCTTTAAACTCCTTCAGGAATATGAGTCATGTAATTTATGATTCTTCTCCTTCCTCTTCTCTCCCTGCAGCCGGAATTCTGGGGCCTGAGCAGTGACTTCACTGGCTGCCGGCCTTGTGATTGTGATTTTGGTGGCGCCTACAGCAACAGGTGGGAGCTTGGTCAAGAGCCTGAAAGCTGGAGGAAGGGGGGATTCCAGGCAGTGCCAGGGCCAGAAATGGAGGATTAACCTTATCCCCCATACTACCTGTGTCACCAGGTGCTCGTCAGGGGAGGGGCTTTGTCCTTGTCGCCCCCACCTACAAGGCCGAGACTGCCTTGAGCTCCAGTCTGGTTATTTCTGTGCAGCCCTGGACCAGGCTGTAGCTGAGGTGGAGCTTGGGCAGAGACTCAAGCCCTCTGACCCCCGGCTACCTGTGAGTATGTGAGCTCCAAATGTTGGCACTCAGAGGAGGGAGAGATGGCAGAAGACTGGAGCAGTCAGGGAGGGCTTTCTGGAAGAGGAACTTAAATAGAATAGGTTGCTTTGGAAGACTGTGAGCTTCTCACCACAGAAAGTCTTCAAATGAAGGCTGGATGACCACTTGTCAGGATGGACAAGTTGTATCACATGCCTTTGGGAGGCCCCACTAGCTTTAGAGATTTTCTGAGTCTCTGAGCCAAAGGCAAGAGAGAATTGAGGTGGGATTGGTATTTTGGAGTAGTAGTTAACCAAAGGAGATAGAGGTGACTCTGGCAGTGAGTATCCAGGTAGGAGGAAACATGGCCCTTCAGCTCTGCTGTCCTTCAGGGAGCCCCTCTATCTGATGTCCCCCGCAACTGCCTGCCAACAACAGGACCTGTGCCGAAGAGGCTCAGACCCCGGCTCTGGCGCCAGCGTAGCACGCCCTGCCCTGTGCAGGTTACTCGCCATGGACGCCACAGCCATCATCCATCAGAGGTGAAGGGTCAATGGGAAAGCCCTGGGGATGAAAGGAGGTTGGGGGGATGGTGAGTGTGGAGGACGCTTTCCAGGGCAGTAGGAAAAGAACAGACTTGGACTCTGCCTTCAGGGAGCTCCCAAGAAGAAGCAGGACCAGATTCTCCCCTTGAGACCTCACAGTATTATTTCTGTCTCATTCCTAGGCTGCTGTGGAGCCGCGGCCTGGGGGCCAGGGCCCTCAGACCTACTCCTGGACAGGCCCTGGGTTTGCCAGGGTGGAGGACAGGGCTGGCCTCATGTTCCAGGCCCCTCCAGTGCCACGAGCCATGGAATATGACATTGTGCTGCGTTATAAAGCTCAGGTCAGGCCCTGAGATTATGGGATTATGGAGGAGCTGGGAAGGTGGGGGAGGAACCTCTTTTACCCTTGACCCTTTAACACTCCCAGGCCCCCGAGGACTGGGAGGCCCTTGTCAGTGTCCGTGCCAGCTCCCTGCCCAGCAGCACCCGTTGTGCCAATGTGTTGCCCTCAGAGCAGCTCTATCAGGTGGCCCTACCTTCCAGGCGCAGGTATGAATTCAGTCAAAGTGGAATCTGGAAAATTGGGGGGAGGGTGCAAATGTGGAAGATACCAGGTGTCAAATAACTGAAGGGGGTAGGTGAACACAGGCACCAATCTCGCATTAACACCCTCTTTTCCTCCAGAGCTGTGGTTCTGTCTAGACCCTTCTGCTTTGAACCTGGAACCAGATACATGGTGACCTTGAGACTGCAGCGAGTGACAAGTACACGGAGCCTACCCAGGGGAAGCATCTTGCTAGACTCCGTGAGGCTTTTGGGCTCCCTGCCTCCTAACACGTTAGGGTGCCCAGCACATCTCTTTACTCCCCAAGGCTTACCTGCACCTCCCTGTTCCCAGTGTTGGGCTCAGCACAGTTAGGGAGCCTGAGAAAGAGGAAGCCTGGGCCCTGCCCCCAGGGAGCTCATTGTTTTGGGAAAGTCTGGGGACAGATGGGAGACCCAACGAAGGGGCCTGTGGGAGGGAAGGCCTGGGTGAGCAGCGGTACAAAGCAAGGACCTATCTTAGGCACTGGCTTACAGACCTAGGGCTGGAAGGGACCCCCAATGTCATCTGGACCAACTTTCTCATTTTACTTATTAGGAAACTGAGTCCCAATGAGGTGGGGTTGCTTGGCCAAAGTGACACAGGTGTTTAGTGGCAGAGGTGGGATTTCATCCAGGTCCTCTGACTCTCACTGTTGTTGTTTGTTGTTCAGTTGTGCCCAACTCTTTGTAACCCCGTGGACCATAGCACGTCAGTACCGTCCATGGGGTTTTCTTGGCAAAGATAGTGGAGTGGTTTGTCATTTCCTCCTCCAGAAGATTAAGGCAAATGAAGTTAGGTGACTTGCCCAAAGTCACACAGCTAGTGAGTGTCTGAGGCTGGATTTGAACTCAGGTCTTCTTGACCTGTGGCCCAGTGCTCTATCCACTGAGCCATTTAGCTGTCATACACTTTGTATTATCCTATACTGCCTCTGATTTGGGCCTTAAAGGACAGCTAGGATTTGGAGAGAAGAGAGTAGCATTCTGGGTGGAGAATTAAGAACAGAGGCAGGGCAGCTAGGTGGCGCAGTGGATAGAGCACCAGCTTTGAAGTCAGGAGGACCTGAGTTCAAATCCAGCCTCAGACCAACCACTTGATGCTTACTAGCTGTGTGACCCTGGGCAAGTCACTTAACCCCAATCGCCTTAAAAAAAAAACAGAGGCAGAAATAAGCTTAGAATGGGGCAAGGGAGAGAGAGAGAGAGAGAGAGAGAGAGAGAAGAGAGAGAGAGAGAGAGAGAGAGACAGTGTGAGAGCTTTGGGTCCCAGGCGGTGGAGTTTGGACTAACCTGGGGGGTCATTCTTGATCAGTGAGTTGGCAGACATGCTGCAGGGCATTTATCTTGCTGGCTGTGTAAAGGATGAATCTGAGGATGGATAAATAGGAGGTGGGAAGACCACTTAGGAGGCTGTGATGATTGTCCAAAGAGGCAGTGAGGGCCTGGACTAGGGGGGAAGGCTTCCATGGATGTTGAGGCAGTGTTCAGGCCTGGGGTGATTGGCAAAAGGCAGACATCTCTCTGTGCACCTCTTATGCTGCAGAGGCAGGTACCTGCCTGCAGCCGCCAGTCATTCCCCAGGCCTGGTGAAGGAACACTGAGAAATACTCATTGTTGGTGTCTGAGGAGTGGATGGGAGAAACCAGACCCTGGAGGTGGGGAAGGGAGGTGTGCACACCTAGAACAAACTCACTTGTAGTCTAATTGGGCCAAAGTGGAGAGTTACAATGAGAATGAGTCAGTCTGGTGGGCATGACAGAATCTTGGGGAGCCCCTGGTTTGTATGTGGATGTAGAATAGGAAAAACGAGTCTGTGGATGGGGAATAAGGGGAGAGTGTACCAGAGGAGAGGACTCAGTGAGAGTTAGGGCTGAGCTTTTTAGCTGGGCCTTCCTGGCCGAAAGTGGGGCTGTGTTCTAAATCCTACATCGAGCCTTTCTTCCCCACGGAGCAGTGGCAGGACTGGGGAGCCAGGATGAGATTGGCTTGTCAGTTTCTATACTGGAATGACATGTTTCTGAGCTCCCCTGTAGTCTCTGCAAAAGAAGAGACAGAGAGCCCTTGAGCCATGAAGAAGATGGGCTGCCAGTGAAAAGTGCCTAGAGGACAAGACTTAGTAAAAACTGATTGGGTGTGGGGATGATGGAGGATGATGATTCAGCAGTGATTCTAGGTCATGAGGAGAATGGTGGTGCTCTCAACTGAAAAAGGGAGGCTGGAAGCAGGATCAGGTTTTGAGCAAATATGGTCAAGGATACATGCAGGTGGAGATTCAGTTTAATTCTTAGCTTACCAAACCCCTGCTACATGTAAGGCTTTTTGCTTGGCACTTAGGATACAAGGATTAAGAAGAGAGATTTTCTTGCTTCTAGCAAAGTATGGTGTACTGGGGAGATTCAGCATATGCACAAATGAATATAACGCAAAAGAGAGTGTAAAACAGACAAAAGCAAGATCTAGACAAAGTAATCAAAGACAATTGGATTAAATTGAAGGCATTAATGAAGTGCCCCAGTTGAGGCTAAAGTCCCTAGACTGGAGACTCAGAGAAGAAAGAACCAGAATTAGGAGGGCAGATATTCTCGGAATGTGTGAATGCATGGAGACAAGAAGGGAGGATTAAATTGAGGAAGAGTGATTAGTACAGTTTGGCTGAAAGATGGAGTCCAGGTCTGAAGTTAGAGATGTGGGAGTCATCTGCATAGAAGGGAGAATAGAAACCATGGGAGTGGATGAGTCAAGAAAGGAAATAGGAATGCTGAGGACTAGAATGCCTTCCAAAGTCCCTTGGGATTCTCAGATTTCCTGTGACCCACCTGAAGTCTCCCAGTCTTTTTCTCATTTCTTGGAGAGGCCCCCTGCCTGAATCTGGAATACTAGAATCTGGGCCATTTCCCACAGACTTGCCTGTCCCTAATGATTCCCCTTTCTCCACAGCTGGTGCTTCTGCCTCGAGTAGAAGAACTTCCAGGCCTAAGAAGGGGGGACCCTGGGGCATCGAGTCGCCTGAGAGAACTCAGTCGTGCCCAGTGCCTTGAAGCTGCAAGAACACCCCCCCTAGGGCCACCATCAGAGTCCTGTGCCCGCTTGATCTGTAGCATCTCTGCCCTTCTCTATGGTGGTGGCCTGGGTGAGTGACCCTGAGTGGCTGAGACTAGGGAATGTTGGGTAGAGAGGTGATCAGAACCAGGGTGGCTCATGGGACTGGAGAAGTAGCAGTGGAGTCAACAAAGGAAGTGAGAAAGAGTGGTTAAGGAATGCCTGGGGGAGGTGATGATGATAATAATAGCTAGCCTTTATATTGTGGTTTATCTTTTACAAAGCACTTTACATGTGCTGTTTCATTTGGTTCTGGTTTTAGCCTCATTTTTAGATGAGGAAAGTGAGGCAGAGAGGGAGGTTAAATGACTCACCCAGGATTACACAGCTAGGAAGTGTCTGGAATGGGATTTGAAGTCAGGTCTTCCTGATTCCAAGTCCAGCCCTCTGTCCACTGAGCCACCTCCCTGTCTTGGAGTTACCCAGGAATTGACTGGGTACTGCCCAGAATGTTCAGGATAAGAGGAGTATCTAACTCTGAAAGTGGACATGTACCTAGGGGGATAGGGTAAGAGAAATCAGAGGGTTGGGGGCATGTGTGGACACAGGGGAATAAAAAGGTGGCTGGGGGAATGAATGGAAGTGTCTTTTATGAGGGCTGAGTCCTAAGGGTGTTAGGGGGGTCAGGCATCTGGGGCTGAGTTCAGCCTGCCTCACCCAGACATTGCTCTCCCACCTCTAGCCTGTGAGTGTGACCCACAGGGCTCTCTGAGCTCCGAGTGTGCCCGTGTGGGTGGCCAGTGCCCATGTCGACCCCACGTCATTGGCCAGCGCTGTGACCAGTGTGAGCCCCAGACATATGGCTTTGGCCCAGCAGGCTGCAGTGGTGAGGACTGAGACAGACACTGGGCTAAGCACTGGGTGGACATGGAGATGAGGTTGGGACAGACCCTCCCCCCCCCCAGCCTAACCTTGCGCTGTTTCCCTTAGAGTGTCATTGTTCCCCTGAGGGGTCCACCAGTTTGGCCTGTGATCCTTTAAGTGGACAGTGCCCATGCCAGCTAGGCATCACAGGACGAAGGTGTGACCAGTGCCTGCCTGGCCAGTGGGGCTTTCCTCGGTGCCAGCCCTGTGAGTGTAATGGGCATGCAAAGCAGTGCCACCCACACACAGGTGTGTGCCGGGCCTGTGGAGATGCCACCACTGGGCGTCATTGTGAAAGGTGAGTGGAGTCTCCTCTTAAAGTCCCAAGAAAGGAGATACGGCTCCTATCCCTAGGAAACCTTCAGGGCTTGTTGGTCAATTATGGGGTGGTGGAGATAGGTGGCACCCAGCCTGGTTGTTGGCACCACACTACCCCCACAGGTGCCAGGATGGTTATTATGGAGACCCTGTCCTGGGCTCTGGACAGCAGTGCCGGCCTTGTCCCTGCCCTGGGTTCCTGGGCTCTGGTAATTACCATGGGACCTCATGTCAAGCGGATGGTGGGAGTGAACGAATCCTGTGTCTCTGTGCCCCTGGTTATGCAGGTAAGTGGTAGTAATGTGCATTAAGGCTAGAGAACCAGGGTCCAATTTTCTAAGCATCCCCCACCCCTCACAATACTAACTCCTATTTCTGTGGCAACATTAAGGTTTACAAAGCACTTTCCCTACAGCAGCCTTGGAAGAGAAGTATAATTCTCTCCATTTTATTGATGGGGAAATTGAGGATTAGAGAAATAAAATGACTTGCCCCAGGCCACATACCTAGTAAGTGGCAGATCTGATGGCAGAGCTGGGCTTTTCATACTGTGCTGTGCTGATTCCCATGGACCATGTGCCCCTCGTCCAAAGCCTGAACACCTTCACAAAGACAAAACTGTGAGGAAGCACAAGAAGTGAACTTTCTTCTCTTTCGTTATTTGTCATCACTGTTTTGATGGCAATGTTGTTGGTGATGGTGACCGCTGATGGTTATAATAGCAATTTCCTGTCACTTTAATGTTTGCAAAGACAGGTCCTTAACCATGATCCTCTATGAGTTAGGGAGCACAAATGTTCTATTATTATTCCCGGTTTATCACAATCAGAATAACACAAGATTTAGCAGCTTTTACATTAAGGGACTGCAGGGCATGGAATATAATATTCCGGAGGGCAAAGGAGATAGGATTACAACCAAGAATCACCTACCCAGCAAAACTGAGTATAATCCTTCAGGGGGAAAAAATGGTCATTCAGTGAAATAGAGGACTTTCAAGCACTCTTGGTGAAAAGACCAGAGCTGAATAGAAAATTTGACTTTCAAATACAAGACTCAAGTGAAACATGAAGAGGTAAACAGGAAAGAGAAATCATAAGAGACTTATTAAGGTTGAACTGTTTACATTACTGCATGGAAAGAAGATATTTGTAACTCATGAGACCTTTGTCAGTATTAGGGTAGTTGGAGGGAAAAAATTATATGTATGTATATAGATAGATAGATAGAGGGCACAGGGTGAATTAAAGATGAAGGGGTAATTTCTGGGGAATAAAATTAAGGGGTGAGAAAGGATTATGAGGGGAGAAGGAGAAAGAGATAGAATGGGGTAAATTATCTCACATGAAACAGACAAGAAAAGGGGAAACGGGGGAAGGTGAGAGGGAATGAGTGAATCTTATTCTAACAGGATGTGGATTAAGGAGGGAATAACATACACACTCAATCGGGTATGGAAGTCTATCTTATTCTATGGGAAAATAGGGGGGGAAGGGGACAAGAGAGCAGGGCAATGATACAGGGGAGGGCAGATTGGGAGAGGGGATAATCAGAAGCAAACAATTCTGAGGAAGGACAGGATCAAAAGAGAGAATAGAATAAATGGGGGGCGCGATAGGATGAAGGGAAATATACTTAGTTTTTCATAACATGGCTACCATGGAAGTGTTTTGCATGACTACATATGTATAACCTGTATTGAGTTGCTTGCCTTTTCAGTGAGGGTGGGTGGGGAGGGAGGAAGGGAGAAAATTTGGAACTCAAAAGTTTTAAAAACAGATGTTAAAAAAAATTGTTTTCACATACAACTGGGAAATAAGAAATACAGGAAATGGGGTATAGAAATCTATCTTGTCCTATAGGAAAATAGAAGGGGAAGGGAATAAGAGAAGGGGAAGGGGTGATAGAAGGGAGGGCAGATCAGGGGAAGAGGTATTCAGAATGCATGCCATCTTGGGATGGGGGGAGGGATGAGAGATGAGATGGGGAGAAAATTTGGAACACAAAATCTTGTGGAAGTGAATGTTGAAAACGAAAAATAAATTTAAAAACAAAAAAAAATTATTCCCAGTTTATAAATGAAGAAACTGAAGCTTGGAAATAGGAAGTCACTGAAGATTACCGATTTAGAGCTCTGAAAGAAGAGACCTGAGAGGTCACCTCAACCAAGCCCCTTATTTTACAGATGAGTAAACTGAGGCCCAGAAAAAGGGAAGTGACTCGATCACATAAGTTATATGGAACAACAATAGTAGCTTATGTTTATATAGCACTTTACAATTTTTTAAATATTTACTCATTGAGTTTTTTAAGTTTTATTTTATTTGGTGAGGCAGTTGGGGTTAAATAACTTGCCCAGGGGTTACATAGCTAGTTAAGTGTCAAGTGTTTGGCCTTAGACCGAATTTGAACTCAGGTCCTCCTTACTCCAGGGACAGTGCTCTCTCTATTCACTGCGCCACCTAGCTGCCTATTTTTTTTAATTTGTTTTTAAAATTCTGAGTTCCAAATTCTCTCCCTTTCCCCCTCATTGAGAAAGCAAACAATTCCATATAGGTTTACATAGATGTGTGTGTGTGTGTGTGTGTGTTGTGTGTGTGTGTGTGTGTGTGTGTGTGTGTAGTCATGCAAAATATACCCATAATAGTCATGTTGTGTAACAAAACGTAGACCAAAAAAACTCAAGAAAAATAAAGTGAAAAAATAAGCAAAAAAAAGTTGCTTCAACCTATGTTTAGTCACCATCAGTTCTTTCTCTGAGGATGGATAGCATTTTTCATCCTAAGTCCTTCAGAGTTGTCTTAGATCGTCTTATTGCTGAGAGTAGCTAAGTCATTCACAGCTGATCATCTTACAATATTGCTGTTACTTTGTACCCAATATGTTTCACTTTGCATCAACCCATGTAAGTCTTTGTAGGTTTTTCTGAGAGCATCCTGCTCATCATTTTATAGTACAATAATATTCCATCATAATGACATGCCACAACTTATTCAGCCATTCCCCTCAATTCATGTGCATCCCCTCAGTTTCTAATTCTTTACCCCCAGAAAAGATTTTTGAAAGTTTTATTGATGAATTTTTTACATCCTAGTCATTTCCAGATGTACCCTCCTTTTTTCTCCCCCTCCCACAATGAGCTATCCCTTGTGACAAAGGCAAAAAAGGCAGTTGAACAAAATCACCCATCACATATCCATCTCTGATAGCACATGCAGCACTGTAAACCTCCAGTCCCCTTTGTTCCACAGAAGGAGGTGACATTGTTTTGTGGGACTTTAATTATACAGTGTATTCAAGTTTTGTCTCATTTTTCTTTTCGTTTATATTGTTTTAGTCCTAATTGCTTCCCTGGTTCTGCTAACCTTTCCAAGCATCAGCTTCATATAAGTCTTTCCTTGTTTCTTAATTCCCCATAGTTGATTTCCATGGTGAGAGAATATTCCATTATATTCACATATAGCAGTTCGTCTGACTGTCCCTTTCTCAGTGGCAGCCCACTTTGTTTCTAGTTCTTAGTTATCATAAAAGTGCTGCTGCTGTTAATATTTTTGTACTTAGGGAGACTTTCTGTTGCTCTCCTCACTGGCATATACGCTTTGTAGTAGGATTGCTGGGTTAGAGGATATGAATGGTTCAGTCACTTTTTTCACATAGCTGTAGTTTGTTTTCCAGCATGATTAGACCGTCTTGTAGTTCCACCAACAGTGTATCAGTATACCGATCTTCCCACCGCCCCTCCAGCATGGGTTGCTTCCATCTTGCTGGATGTAAGGTGGGAACCTTAAGAGTATTCATTTTTCTTTTTATTATTTGGAGCCAACTTCCATATTCCTAGACTAATAGAATTAATGGATTGTAATTCTTTTCTTGAGATTTATTTGCTCGGATCCTTTGGTCACTTTTTTCTTGGGGGCTTTTTAAGATTTAAGGAACGCTTCCCCTCCCCGCCAGGATTGCTGTGAGGGACTGGCATCCCATCTTACTTGTCTCAGCATCAGGATGGTTAAATAATTTGCCCATAGCCACACAGCTGGTGTCAGAGCTCAGCCTTGTGCCCTGGGCCTAGGGCCCTGTAGAGGAGTTAATGGAATGGTTTCTCTTACCCTCTGCAGGTCCTCGCTGTGACCGCTGCTCTGCTGGCTACTTTGGGCGCCCCTGGCCAGAGGGAGTAGTGGGGAGGTCACCTTGCCGACCCTGCCAGTGCAACAACAACATCGACCCTAGCGACCCCATGGCCTGTGACCCCCACAGTGGGCACTGCCAGCGCTGTCTACACCACACCCATGGGCCACACTGTTCACACTGCCAGCCTGGCTACTACGGCAATGCCCTCTGGCCACGAGGCTGCCGGCGTGAGTAGGGTTGAATGGGAGGGAGACTCTTAGAGAGATGGTGGATCCCCACTCCCACCCCTGCCTGCATTCTTGCACACTTGTACTGTCTGTCCCTGCCCCAGCTCTGACCTCATCTTCCAAGGCTGAGCTCCTCCTTTGAGCCTTGACATTTCTCATCTCTATTTACCCATTAGGTTGCAGCTGTGACCTACAAGGCACAGTGCCTGCCCGGTGCCTGCCTGAAAGTGGCATCTGTTTCTGTGATAGGCTCAGTGGGCACTGCCCCTGCCGCCCACATGTCCTAGGGCAGTTCTGTGATCGCTGTGCCCCCCAGTTCTGGAATCTGCGAGGGCCTCGGGGCTGTGAGCCCTGTGCTTGTCATACCCAGCACTCAGTGCAGCTAACCTGTCATCCGGTAAGGGAGTATTTCAGGCTTGCACATATGCTTGAGTGCATATTTATGTGTGGCTGCCTGAGCGATGATAATTGGTGTCTGTGGATGTGTTTGAATGCCTGCATGCGTGTACATGTGATTGTGTGGGTTCATGCTTATGTGTACAACTGTATATGTATGTGTCTGCATGTAGCCATGTGTAGGGGCAACTGTATATGTGTGTGGGGAAGGATGAGCAGGTATGCCTGGGGACAGATAGTGAGAATCCTGAGCTGGCGGGGACAGAGGAAGAGGCAGGGGAGCAGAGGTTCGATAAGTCAGGGCCAGATCACAGAGTGCCTCAAATGCTGGGACACAGAGTTTGGACTAATAACCTAGAATTACAGTCAGCAAGACATTCTGGGTGCGTGTTGGACAGTTGTGGGCCTCTGTCAGTGCAGTGTAGTACGTGGACTCCCGAAAGTCTGAAGACTGAGTTTCAGGTAGGGACTTAGTAATCCTGTGACCCAGCGCTTAGTTAGCAGAGCAGCACACAGTAGGCCCTTAAAAAAAGCTTGTTGACTTGACCTTAGGCCTTAGTTTCTTCATCTGTAAAAAAGATAGTGCCACTTGAAGTCTCTCTGTCAGAGTTTTGGTGGTACTCTAGTGGAATGGGGTCAAGTCTCGGCTCTGGCGCCAGCAACTGTGGGACCAAAGACAATTACTTTCAGGCAGTGTGGTGCAATGAGGTGAGCCCTGGGCCCAGAGTCAGAGGACCTGGGGCCCAACCCTGGCTCTGGGGAGGGCCAGTTAGTACTTGTGTATAACCAAGCTACTCCCCCATACTGGCTTCAGCTTCCTCCCCTGTCAAATAAAGAGGTTGTAGTTGATTGTCTCAGATCCTTCCTATCCTCAAGGAACTTACACTGCCCTCTACAGTGATCTGTGCAAAAAAAAATGTATCATCCCCCTTTTTCTAAAAAGTTAGATTTTGGAGACAATCTAGTGTACTGTCCCTCCCTTTTACCACTAAGGAATATTGAGACCCAGAGCAGTGTCCTGACAGGTCCAGAGTCACCCAGCTAGTCTGTGGAAGGGCCAGAGCACATAGCCATGTCCCCGACTCCAAACCCAGAGCTTCTCAACAAAGGGAGGACAGGCGACTCATTCATTCATGTGGGCTTCTTTAGGGCAGAGCACAAGCATGAGTGGGTCCTTGGGTCTGAATCAGACTCACAGTGGCTGAGGGGTTCTGTCTGCAAGCCTCTGAAGACTTGCTCAAGAGAGGACAGAATTTAACTGGTTTGATTTGGTCCCAGAGGGCAACTGGTCCAGCAGCAATGGGGGCAAGTTCCAAAGAGACAAATTTAGACTGGATGTCAGGGAAATAATTAATTAATTAATTAATTGATAGTTTGCAGCGTTCACTTTTATAAGATTTTAAGCTCCAAAGTTTTCCCCTTCTCTCCCTCCCTCCCTCCCTCCCCCCCAAGACAGCATGCAATCTGATATAGGCTATACATACGATCATGTTAAACATATTTTCATATTAGTCATGTTGTGAAAGAAGAATCAGAACAAAAGGGAAAAAATAGCATGCTTCGAAATACATTCAGACTCCATAGTTCTTTCTCTGGGTGTGGATAGCATTTTTCATCATGAGTCTTTTGGAAAGGAAAAAATTCTTTACAATTAAAATTGTCCCAGAGTTGAATGGGCTGCCTCAGCGGGCAATGGGGTCATTGGAGGTCTTCAATATGCTGTGTTTTGAGGCCACTAGGTGGCGTCATAGTGTACAGAGTGACAGGCCTGGGGTTGGGAAGGACCCAAATCTGAGGACAGCCTCAGACACGTCCTAGCTGTATGAGTCACTTAACCCCTGTTTGCCTCAGTTTCCTCATCTGTAAAATGGGGATGATAATAGCACCTATCAAGATTGTTGTAAGGATCAAATGTGATAGTAATTGTAAAGTGCTTAGTGTCATGCTTGGCACACAGTGATTGCTATGTAAATGAATATATAGATTCTGTGTTTTATATAGATACATAAAATATAATCCATGTAATAGAATAACATCAAATTATATATATGATATGTTATAGTGAGAATTCTTTGAGGGGTGTGGATGCCTGCTAAGGTTCTTTTCATCTCTAAAATTCTGGGATGCTGTGATCATAGGCTCATAAGGTTTAGATCAAGAAAGGGCATTAGCAGTCATTTAATTCTGATTTCACAGAGAAGGGCTGTGAGACCGAAGGAGGGGAAATGATTTACATGGTTTGTATCAGAACCAGGATTTGAATCAAGGAAAGGCTGGTTTAGGATTGAGGCAGAGATGAAGGAGCCAGTAGGGAAAGATTGAAAGTGCATGAGAGTGACTGAGGGGGATGATGTACAGGCTGAGGTCCTAGAGGAGTTGGGTGGGTAGAGATGAGTTAATTTGTGGGGAAGGAGGGTGGACTGGGGAAGGATCAGCCTTGTCGAAGAGAAGGGAGTTACAGAAAGCAATAGAAAGACTGACTGAGAACCTCTGTGTACATGGCCTGTATCTTTGTTCTTCCAAGAGCCCCCATGAAGGGACTCCTGTCCTGGTCTCATATCCCCACAGGTCACTGGTCAGTGCCCATGCCGGGAAGGATTTGGGGGACGTACCTGCTCTCAGTGCCAAGAAGGGTACTGGGGGGCCCCAGAGAAGGAGTGTAAAGGTGAAGAGTAGAGTACCTAGAGAAGGTGGACTGAGGGTGAGGGGGACGTTGTAGAGACAGCTCGATATGGTGGAAAGGGTCTGGGTTTAGCCATTAAAGGACCTGGGTTTGAATCCTGTTCCTTCTATTTCCTAGCTGCATGGCCTTAGACAACTCACTTCCCTTCTGAGTTTTTTACCTCATCTGTAAGATGAAGGGATTGGACTGGCTGGATGTCTAAGGTGCCTTCCATCCTGCAGTCCTAAGAAGTGCAAAGTGTGTGGGGGAGGAGTTGGATGGATTTGGGGACCAGAGAAATCAGTTCCCTGTGCTGATCCCAGCTTCTTTGTTTTTCCCCAGCTTGTGCCTGTGACCCTCAGGGCTCAGTCTCTCTGCGTTGCCACCCTAGGACAGGGGCCTGCTCGTGTCTCGATGGCATCTCAGGCCCTCAGTGCAAGGCCTGTGCCCGGGGCTCCCAGGGCAGTTTCCCCCACTGCCGTCCCTGCCCAACCTGCTTCTCTCAATGGGATGGACAACTGGATGCCCTCCAGCAGCGGCTGGCCACTTTGGCTCAGGGGAGGGATGCCCTGAGTGAGGTGGCTCCTGATAGGGGCAATGGGGGACGGCTGCTGGCCCTGGAAGCAGCCATAGGGCAGGTCCAGGGAGTCCTGGTGTCCACCCGTCCCCTGGTGGGGCCCTTGCAGCAACTCATGCAACATCGGGATATACTCAGGCAAGGCCAAAGAGCCCCAAGGGCCTGGAGAGGGGTGGGTGGGATCTTAGGGTCTGGCAGGAACTGGGGAATCAGGGACCAGGCTTTAGAGGTCATTTCCTAAGTCAGAGGTCAGCTTCTGGATGTCAAAGGTTGGTCTGCTGGAGTTGAGGGCTAGTCTTCAGCCCTGAATGTTTCCCCATCTTCTTTATAGGAGGGAGGTGTCAGTGCTGGGCCGAGCACTTCGAGGGGCGGAGCGGAGTGTGGGTGTGAGTGGTCCCTGGGCTGGAGCTCAGCACTCCCGCATAGGCCAGCTGGCACAAGAAGTAGAACATCTCAAACACTTGACGGTCCAGCTCAAGGAGGCCCCAGGAGGAGCCGGGGGGGGTATGGCCCAAAGGGGTGCTGGTGATGCTTCTGGGGAGGACTTGGGAAGGAGGCTGGTCCTTACAAGCTGACCTGTTTCCCCAGATGCTGCTTCCCTGGTCTCCAGGGCTGCTTTGATCTCCCAGGAGGCTGAGTTTGGTGTTAGAGTCACGACTGCCCTGATGGACACAGAGAGTGCCCTGAGCCAATCCCACAATGTCCGAAGCAGAACAGAAGGGCTGCTGCGAGAGATGAAGCCTCCCTTCAGAGCTCCTGCCTGGAGGGAGCAGCTCCAGGGACTTGTGAATGCCTCCTGGGCCCTGAGCCCCAGCTTGGCCCAGCTCAAGGTCAGAGCCTTTGGGACAGGAATGATGCTTGGGGTGGGGGACTGTGGCCCTAGGAAAGATCTCCAGTGGAAGGAGATCTCTGGTGGGGCTCAGACATCCCAGACAGGGTTTCTGGTTTGGAAGAACCTGAATTTAGAATCTCTTCCTTCCCACCTCTGTGAGTTTGGGTGAGTTTTCCTCCTTCTACCTCCCTTGGCCTCGTTTCCTTCTCTATAAAATTACTAAGTTAAACTAGATAGTCTTTCCAGCCCCTTAGAGTCTGGACATTCTGGGCTCTGCATTTCTGTGACTGTGACCAGGAGTCTCTGGTATCACCTGTGTTCCAGAGACACCACTGTGGTCCCATTGTCTGTGTCTGCAGGTCTGTGGGGGGCCATGGGGTGTAGGGAGGGCCTGTGCTCTCTCCCCTTGTGGGCCAGCTTCTTGTCCTGGGGCACTGCCTGCTTCCTTGAGGGCACTGGGGACTGCTCGAAACACATCCCATGCTTTGGGTACAACAGGTACCAGACTGGGACGGCTACACCGCCGGGTAAGGAGGAGCCACACTGTGGGGGATGACAGGACTGGAATTAGAAGCATGGGGAAGATGAGCACGTGGGTGAGATTTTGTAGGGGGATGAGGGTAGGGCCAAGACAATTAAGAACCAGCCCCACTAATTCACTCCACTCCCCCAGCTGCAACGCATTGGGACCATGGCAAGGGCTGCCCACTTGCAGGCTGAGGAGACACTGAGTAGAGCTCGAGTCACATGGCGTGGGGCTGGCACTGCTCCTATCTTGGCCACCATCCAGAGGATCCGGGCCTTCCTTACAAGTAAGGCCAAGGTCAAGAGGAATAAGATACCATTCCTCCTCCCCTCCAGTCAGACCCCCAAGCAGGGATATGAAGAGTTCGGAGCTCAGGGGCTCAACACACCCTCTCCCTCATGATCAGGGTTCAGGCAAAGTCTAGGTCAAGAGTAAGGTTGACAAGTCAGGGTCATATCAAGAGTTACCAGGAAGTTAGAGTTTGTGCCAGGGTCACAGTTGAGGGGTGGTGGGGGTCTCTCCTTGTCCCCATGAAAGCACAGACTTCCCCCACCCAGGTAAAGCAGAGTTTAGGGCCAGGCCTGGGGGGCCTGAACTAAAAAGAACACTAGCTTGATTCAGAAGACCTACATTTGAGTCCTGCCCTCAATACTTAGTAGCCGTATGATCTCAAGGAAGTCGATTTCCTTCTATTGAGTTTCAATTTTCTTGTCTGTAAATGGGTATTATAATATGCTACTTACTCTCAGGGGTAGGTCATGGGATTTAGATCTAGAAGGGCTTTAGAGATCTTTTATTCTGAGGAGAGTGTTGGGCCTTAGAGATCTTTATTCTAAGAAAAGTGTTTTGTAAATCTTAGAGCAATATAGAAATGGGAACTTTTGCCAATCTTATGCCACAGTGCCCAGGGCGCTGGGCCTGGAGTCAGGAAGACCTGAGTTCAAATCCAGCCTCAGATACTTACTGTGAGACCCTTGGCAAGTCACTTTACCTCTGTTTGCCTCACCTTCCTCAGCTGTAAAATGAGGATAATAACAGCACCTACCTAAGGGTTGTTGTGAAGATCAAATGAAATAATATTTGTAAAGCACTTAGCTCAGTGCTTGTTCCCTTCTCCTCCCCTTCCTCCTTTCCTCCCCTCCCAATGAAGTTTAAGAATCAGAATCCTTGGGGCAGCTAGGTGGCGCAGTGGATAGAGCACCGGCCCTGAAGTCAGGAGGACCCGAGTTCAAATCTGGCCTCAGACCAAACACTTGACACTTACTAGCTGTGTGACTCTGGGCAAGTCACTTAACCCCAATTGCCTAAAAAGAAAAAAAAACCCTAAGAATCAGAATCCTTGTCCCTAGTCCTGATATCAGTTCCTTGTCTCCCCTTCACTCCAGATGAAGGAGCAGACCCTGAGAGCGTGGAGCTGGTGGCCCAGAGAGTCCTGAAAATCCCTCTGCCCCAGGGGGGCCAGAGAGCCATAGAACAGCTGCTAGAGGAGATCCAAGCTGCCCTCCAGCTCCCAGACAGTATGGACTGGGCTCTGCCTTCAGCCCAGGGCCTCCTTCAGCAAGTACAGTGGACCAGGTGAGGAGCTGGGGCTTTCTGGGTTATAGAATGTGCAGCTGGACACAAACTGAGACTAAAGCTGGGCTTGGTTAAGGGACTTGTCCAAGGTCCCACTGGGGAGTAGTGGCAGGGCCAACATTCAGTTAATGAGCATTTTTTAAAGTGCGTACTGTGTGTCAAGCACCGTGCTAAATAAGTGAGTGCTAGTGATACAAAGAGAAGCAAGACCGTGGTCCCTGCCCTCAGGGAGGCCCCAGTCTAAAGGGGAGACCACACGGAAACAGTTGTCTGTATAAGACAGAGATAGAGCACGTGGAAGGTAATCTCAGAGGGAAAAGCATGGGGCAGGGGCTGGGAGCCAGGGAGAGAGCTGGGGAAAGGCTCTCAAGAGGGTAGAATGGGATCTGAGCCTGGAAGGAAGGAAGCCTGTAGGCAGAAGTAAGAAAGGAGAGTCCCAGGCATGGGGGACAGCCAGCCAATGAAGAGGTACCAAGTTGCTGGATCATAGACTTCATGCAAGGGCATGAGAAAAAGGAGCCAGGCTGTGCAGAGCTTTACCTGCCAGCAGGACTTGAACCCATGTTTTAAGACTCCAGGTCCAGCTCTCCGTTGACCAGGGAGGACAAATCTTGCTTTGCTCACATAGAACATTAGAGACTAGTCAGGCTCACTGGATACAGAGTGCCTGAAGGCATGTTTATCTGATCTAGACCCCTCCTAAAGCAGAGGAGGACACCATGGTTTGCCCAAGGCCACCTACAGCATGGCAGAGATGCTCCCATTTATCAAGGGATTTGAAATCCAGCACTCCATCCATTATGTGTCACACATTATGCATTGCTAATAAGGCCCTCTCTGAGACCACTGAGCACTCAGGGTTGGGGCCGGGGCCAGCTGACCTTCCTTCCCTGTGCCCACAGGGAGGATGCAGACAGAACTCAGGACAATGTTGGGAAGACCCGGGGAGCTCTAGCTGAGGCCCAGAACAATATAGGGAGAGCAGAGAGAGAGCTTCGAAAAACAAAGCAGGCACTGAGGAGCCTAGAAGTTCAGACACAGGAGGTAAGATCCCGGGGCTCCCATTCCTCTCCCCTAGGCCCCATATTTCCCAGAACCCCTAGATTCCCCTCAGATACTCTAACATTTGGCACCTGCCAGTGGTCTAGGAAACCTTCCCCACAGTCCCATATGCCTCTAACACTCCCAATTTAAAAAATCACAATATCTCACAGCCTCAATCACACAAACCTTCCTGATGTCCTCTCAAATCCTTAAACTTGTCCTGATGTCCCTAAATACATTTCAGTGTCCCTTGTGTCCTTGAACATTCCTGAGACTTCCCCCAGTGACCTCCAGATCCCCCACCACCTCCCCAAAGTCTCCAGTGTCCCCCTCCAAAAGAATAGAAGCAGGCCTTCAGTGCAGAGGAAAAGGTAAAAAAGAGGGTTGGAAGAGGTACAAGAAAAACCTGCCCTGTGTCAGGATATTGGAAAGTAGAAAAATGTCACACAGGAAGGGAAGGAAAGACATATTCTTGGTACACTTGGAATAAAGAAAAAAATTTGATGGGGCAGCCAGGTGGCCCATCAAAGCACTAGCCCTGGAGTCAGGAGGACCTGTCTTCAAATCTGGCCTCAGACACATGATACTTACTAGCTGTGTGACGCTAGGCAAGTCACTTAACCCAGATTGCCTCACCAAAAAACAAACAAACAAACAAACAAATTTGAAGCTCTTGAAGAAGAATGGAAAAACCTGCTTTGTGGAGGAAGCAGCTGCCTGTCCACTTGTGGGGCTGTTAGGTGAGAGAGCATTCACTAAGGGTCAGAGGCAGATGAGAGTGGTGATTGCTCACTCTTTTCTTGGAGTCATTTTGATAACGGTCGGTCACAGAGAGGTCTGTTATTTTCTTGGTAGCACATGGATTTGGTACATAACTGAGAACCTCCCATAGCTTGTCAAAACATATGACTAATATCTACTTCTGGTGATTCATATGGGCACAAATAATATCGCCAGAAGGAACCTATAAAGTATTGCTAGAGATTATAAAGTGTTGGGCAAGAAGCTAGAGACCAAAAGGACCCAGGTGGTATTTTTGTCACTGCTTCCCTCTGAAGGCAAGGGATGCAGGAGAGAACAGCTGACTAAGAAAATGATGCTTGAGAGTGGGATTTTGATTTCTCAGCCGTGGCTTGAAATAGAGGAACGACAGACCTCTGGACAGGGATGGAGCACACCTAACAAAGGCCTTGTATCATACAAATCTAATCAGAAGGGCTTTAAGCTAAGAAGAGGGAAAAATATGCTGGCATGTATTCAAGCTGGAGACCACAGAGAATACCTGTGTTGTAGGAAAAGAAACAGCAGTTTGAGATACCCTGAAGCCCACAAATGACAGAATCCAAGAGAGGAACCAGCAATAAGTCCCACAGCTTCAGGTGACATAGATCCATAAAATACAAGCAACAGGCAAAACTAAACTAGAGGTTCTAAGAAGACAAATTTGACCTCCTCCTTCTCATTGAGACCTGACCCATGACTGAAAAATGGTTCTGAGTTAGTATTCCTTATAGAAAAAAAAAACAAACAAGCTAGGTAAAACTGTGACGTAGAAGCACTGTATATTAAGAAGGCATCCTCCTGTGTAGTAATCCAGGAACCAGACGATTTTGGCGTGGGAGTACATTATAGATGATATGGACATGTTCGGGAAACGTCACCATCCTGGAACTGAAGCAGGAAATAGCAAGGGCAGTGATGGTGGAAGGGAGAGTCATCTGTCTAGCCTTTGGCAGGAACTCTGTCTAAAGAAGAGCAGTCAGTGACTTCTTAACTTACCTTAATGATATTTCCATGCTTCAGGAAGTTCCACCAAGAAAGAGAAAAAAAATCTCTTTTGATTCTACTTCTCAGTTACATGGAAGAACTGGTTCCTGAAGTGGAAATGTTGAGTCTCTTGGAGGGGGTTGGGGGGACCACTGCCTTGTAGAGTTTGTGACTGAGAAGGATAAGAAGGTTGGGCATCATTGGACATGCTTCCTAGACCTTCAGAAAGCAGATGTCAGAGGGTGTAGATGAGGGAAAAAAAGCTAGTGTTCCATGAAGTAAAATAAAATTCTACTCTGGAAGTCAGCCCAGGAGCGATGGGAGACTCTCAAGAATGAAATTCTGAAGACACAAAGACAAACAGTTCTGATAAGGAGGTAAAAGGGCAGTTGTTTGAAGAGAACAAAAGTAGATACACAGAGAATACATCACCCAACTTGGGTTTTCAAAAGATAAGTATAGCAGACTGAAGCAAGAGTAATAGGCATGGTATGGTAACAGGATCAGTGCAAACACAGCAGAGTTCTGTAAAGATGGTGTCAGTAGAATTAAAGCTTGGAGCAAACTGAGACCTCTGAGGAAAGATAAAGACTTAATGAAAGAAAGAAAGAAAGAAAGAAAGAAAGAAAGAAAGAAAGAAAGAAAGAAAGAAAGATGGGTTTTTAAAGGCTGTATTAAGGAAAGTGAGATCAAAGAAGGGAAAGAACTTGGGGGAGTGTGGGTGGAATGGTGATAAACTGAGCCAAGCTGCTTGGCTCTTACCTGAGCTGTTTTCTCTGCCGAGCAAAATCTCCTTTGGACTGGAAAGGATGAGAAAGATGTCTAATGGGTAGTGGATAATCGGTCTAAGTAAGGGGTTAGCTGCCACGATATAGATGGAGTATCTTCTCAGTTCTTCAGGGTACTGGAGCTAGAAATTCAAAGAATAACCACCATGTTAAGGAGCTTACATTCCATTGTGGCACAGACAACATGTATGTATAAACATGTACAGAAACAATACAAGGGAGTTAAGGAGGGAGGGCACTAGCCCTTGAGAGGTATGGTTTAGAAAAGGTTTCATGTAGAAGGTGATGTTCCAACTGTCTCTTCTTTTTTTTTAACTTTTAGGCATTTGGGGTTAAGTGACTTGCCCAGGGTCACACAGCTAGTATGTGTCAAGTGTTTGGTCTAAGGCTGGATTTGAACTCAGGTCCTCCTGACTTCAGGACTGGTGCTCTATCCACTGTGCCATCTAGCTGCCCCTGAACTGTGTCTTGAAGAAAGAGAAATTGTGTAAGGTGGAAGAGAGGAGGGGATATATTTTAGTCATGGAAGATGTAAAGACATGGACACAGGAGATGAAGTACCATCTGTGAGGAACACGGAGGTGGCCAGTTGGCCTTCTGGATGGTAGAGTGTGGGAAAGAGAATGTGATGAGACTGCACAGAGGGGTCAGGGCTAGGTTGTGAAGAAGGGTTTTAAAAGCCAAAGAAGATTTCACATTTGATCCTAGAGGCAATAGGGAGCCACTGGAGTTTATTTGGTAGGGGAATAAAATGGTAAATTTTTGCTTAAGGAAAATGTCTTTGACAGCTGTTTGGAGAACAGACTGAAGTGGTGAAAGACTTAAGGTAGGGAGGGCAACTAGGAACCTGTTACCATAGTCTGTTGAGGTAATGAGCTCCTGAACTAAGATGGTGATTGTGTCAGCGTGGAGAAGAGGTTAGATGCAAGAGATGTTGGGGAAGTAGAAATAAGATTTGGCAACTGATTTGAGAAGCAAGGTAAAGGAGGGTGAAGAGTCAAGGATAATGCTGAGGTTACAAACCTAGGAGATTGGCAGAGTGATACCTGCAGTAGAAATAGGGAAAGAATGAATTCTGTTTGGTACATGTTAAATTTTTAAATGTTCAGTTTGAAATGTGCAATTGGCAGTTGCTGATTTGAGACTGCAGTCCAGAGGAGAGATTGGGATTGAATATATAGATCTGGGAATCTTTTGCTTAAAGATGATAATTTAACTTGGGGGGGGCAGCTAGGTGATGCAGTAGACAGAGCACTGGCCCTGAAGTCAGGAGAACCCGAGTTCCAATCTGGCCTCAGACCAAACACTTGACACTTACTAGCTGTTTGACCCTGGGCAAGTCATTTAAACCCAGATGCCTGGAAAAAAAAATTGTGGCAGCTGATGAGTTCACTCAGAGAGAGAAGAGGACAAAAAGCCTTGGAGAACACCCACAGATGGGGGAATGATATGAACATTGACACAGAAGAGGCTTAGCAGGAATCTGTGGTCAGACAAATGGGAGAACAAGGGGAAAATCTCCAGTGTCAGATACAACAGAGAGATCAAGAAGGATGAGGGCTGAGAAACCACTGAAATCATGGATAACTTTGGAGAGGGTAATTTCAACTGAATGATGAATGGGATCAGAAACCATACTGCAGAGAAGTGAGAAGAGAGGAAGTGGAGGCAATGAATGTAGACAGCTTTTTCTAGGAGTTTGTCTGGAAAAGGGAGAAGACAGATAGGACAGTAGCTTGGGGGAAAGGTTGGCCTTATTGAAGTTTTTGTTTTTTAAGATGAGGAGAGTTGGACACATTTGAAGGCACTAGCTATAGACTGAAGATTAGAGAGAAAGGGGAGATGATTGAGGGGTCTCCAGTAACCTGGAGAAGACAGGAGAGGATAAGATCAAGGGCACATGTTAAGGGGGTTGGACTTGGCAAGAAAAGCCACTTCATTATCACAGACTGGGAGAAAGTAGTAGGAAGAAAGAGAGAGAAAGTGATATCAAAGATTTTTGGGATGAATTGAATGGGAGAAACCAGAACTCAAGTCAGATTAAGTCAAATGGCCTCAGTTTTCTCAGAGGCCAAGTCTTCAACTCAGGGAAAGGGAAGGTATGAGAGAGAAAACAAGACTGGGGAAGGGCAAATGTCCAGATTTTTGCAATGGGAAGAGAATGGATTATACAAACTATAGACCAGTGAACTTGACATTGATTCCTTGTATGTATTATTAAAGATAATGAGGAAGTGGTGAGCCAAGAGGCAGTATAGCCTCATCACAATTCTACAGGCCATGCCAAACTAAGTTTATTTCCTTTTTTGACAGGATACTAAGCTGATAGATCAGGAGAATGTTATGGATAAAGTTTATCAAGATTTCAGGAAAGTGTTTGATAAATAAAATAGCGTCTGCTATTCTTACAGAAAAGATGTAGAGTTATGTGTGTGTGTGACACAGTATCATTAGATGGATTTGGAACTCATTAAATGTTGGGATGCAGCGAGTGGTTATTGAGGGTTCATTGTCAGCTCCAGGGGAGGGTGAGCCCACCGAGCTGTGCTTAGCCTTGTCTGTTATTGTCTCGGGGGCTTGGATCAAGGCATAGATGGCCTTTTTATCAAGCTTGCAGATGACAGAGCTGGGGGAGCCGGCTAACACACTGTTTAAGAGAATCAAGATGCAGAAGAGCTTGCCTGGCAAGAACATTTGCTGGAATCTAATAAGGCGACATTTAATAGGGATAAATGTGAAGTCCCACCTTTGGGTTCAAGAAATTGACTTCACCACTACAAGATGTAAGAATGTTGAGGTAGTAGTTTGTCTGAAAAAGGTCTGTGGCTTTAGTGGACTGCAAGCTCAATGTGAATTTATAGAGTAATATGGTAATTAAATATGCTAATGATAGAATCTTGGGCCACATTAATGCGCACAGGTCCCAGGAGTCAAGAAGGCCCGCCTAGGGGCTTGTGGCCAGTTCTTGCTAATCCATTTTAGGAAGGACATTGATAAGCTGGAGAGCATCTGGATGAGGGCTGCCAGGATGGCTGAAGGCATTAGGGATGTTTAGCCTGTGGAAAAGAGGACCAGGTGATTGATTGGCTGATAGCTGTCTGTCTTCAAGTATGGGTCTGGCCCCAGAGGGCAGCACTAGGAGCAGTGGGTGGAAGAGGAAAAAAAGATTGTTCATAATTGATGTTGGGAAGAACTTCCTGACAATGCCAGTTTCTGGAGCCAGCCACAACGGCCTGCTTTGGGAAGAGCTATGGTCCTTGTCTTCGGAAGTCTGGATAGTTTGTTGTGGGCATTCCTTCTCAGGTGTGACTTGGAATAGATGACTGCTGAGCTTAAAGCTCTAAAATTCTGGGATTCCTGTGACCTCTGACACTGCTCAGAAATCACTCGATATCCCCTGATCCTCCCTTGTCAACCTTCCTCAAACTCCAATACTCCAAGAAACCTCCTTCCATGCCCGTGCACTAAAACACTCCTTAAAATTTTGCTAATGTTCACTATGTCCCTTAGCATTCCTTAAAGCCTTCCCTAATAGTTCTGGAATCTCCCAGCACCCCAGGAAACTCCCTTAACTTCCCTTGTATTTTGCACTCTTCAAACTTCCCTCAATAGGTTATGTATCCAGACACCCCAGGAAGCTACCACCAGTGTCTCCTGTGTCCCCCAGCACTTCCTGGGTCTACTTGAATTTACCCTAGGACTCCGTTTACACACTCAGAAAAAACATGTCCATCTTGTTCCCCAGCCCCATCCTTCCCTGTCTTTGTCTTTGGGTCTGTCAAAAAGGAACCCGTTCCCCAAATGTTCCTATGCTCCTCAGTGTGCTTCATCTATCCCCAAATATACCCTTGGACTCCTAACACTCCAGAAAACTTCCCTAATGTCCCCTGAAACTCAAAGCATTGGGAAACTTCCCCGTGTCACCTTTGAGCCCCCAAATCCTGAACCTGAGTCACAATGCCCTTTGGGACTCCTAAGCTCAGATTCCCCCTTTCAAAAAAACCAACTCCTTGCCCATCTGTCCTAACCCCACTCTCCTATTCTCTCCGTCCCCCTCATTTGGCCTCTAACCACAGATGGCTTTAGGGCTAGCTCAAGCCACACGTGATCTGGATGTGGGTGCCACCCTGGACCAGCTCCTGGGGGCAGCAGATGCTCTGCAGGCCCAAATGTCAGAAAACAAACTACAGCTGAGGGAGGCCCAGGAGCAAGCAGAACAGGCATCGGACACAGCTGCAAATTTGGGCAAGGTGAGACGGGCGTTATTCCTGGTCACTACTGAGGTTTGCAGGATCACGTGTCCTGGGAAACAAGGGGATTACACTTGAAGATACCAGGGAGGCAGGATGTTCCAGGGAATGGAAGAGAGGCTGTCACTGGGATGAAAGGCCTCAGTCTTCTGAGTCCTAGGACAGGGAGAGGGAGGCATAGGGTGAAAGTTCCCAAGTCAGGGTAGGAGGGTGGGGAACAGAGGCCTCAGAGAACTGATTAGGGGGTTCTGACTCGGGGGGGGGGCGGTTTCTGAATAGGGATTCTTGAGTTTGGGGGGGAGTGGGGGAGTTCCAAGGTGATTAGTCCTTTCCTGTCCTTACCTCCCTCTTCCCACCTGGTTCTCCCTGCCCCCAGGAGCTGCAGACAGCCAAACTACAGTTCTCAGAGCTTCAGTCTGGGATTGATGGTCTTGGGGTTGAGGTGAATGGGGCCAGAGACCGTTTGCAGCAAATTCAGGCAGAAGCCAGAGAGCTGCTGAAGAAAGCAAACAGGAGTCGGAGCCGCCTAGAGGGTGAGGCTGTCGGGGTGTGCACCTGATAGGATCCTGAGGGCCTGAGGATTTCAGGGGAGCCTTAGGTGTTCAGGGGACTCAAGGGAGTCCCAGAAAGTTCATAGTTTCTGGGGCCCTTGAGTGTCTGGGGCAGGTTTTTCAGGGAAACCTATTTAGAAGAGATTCAAAACCCTGAGTATTGGAGGGTTTCTGAGGTACTGGAAATTTGGGGGACTTCATTCTCAGGGCTACCCTAGATACTCGGGGGCCCCCAGGGGCCATGATTGTTGGAGGTCTCAGGAAGACCAGAGTGGTTGGGGAAGGTCTTAGGAGAGTCCCAAGTACAGCGGTTACCAAGCAAGGTAGTAGGCATTGGGGGCTTTTTTTAGGGTTGTCTGAATATTGGGGATCTTTGGACAACAGGTATTTGGGGTTTTCAGGAGGCCTTGAATGGTTGTGAGTCTTAGCAATCCTCAGATGAGAAGCTCAGCTACTTGTGGGTCACAGGTAGACTACAGAGTGTTAGAGCCTTTGCAGTTGGGGAATTTCAAGATGTATAGGAGTATGAGATTTTTAGAAGGCCCCCAGTATTTGGGTTTGTGAGTACTGGGAACATTTTGGAGCCCTGGACATTTGCAGATTTCAAGAGGCTCTAAGTGTCTAGGGAAGGTCTCAAGGGCTTTGGGTTTGGGGGGCTCTGAATGTTGGAGATTCCAGGGGGATCTCTTAATGTTTAGGGGCCCTGGAAGTGGGAGTTCTAGAGGGGCTTGGGCATCTGGGGATCTCAAGGGTTCATGAGGTTTGGGGGTCTGGCTTGGGAGGGCCTAGGGTGATGTTTGGGGCCCCTCCGGCAGAGCTTTGTGTTGGGTTTACCAGGGCTGGAGAAACGCTTTGCCGGAAATGAGCAGGCACTTGGAGAGAAGGCAGCTGAGCTTGGGGCCCTGGAGATCAGAGCCTTGGGGCTGCTGGAGCAGCTGAGGCAGGAAGCCAGTGCCCATTCTACCTGCTGATCCAGCGACCCCCAGTAAAACAAAGACACCCCCCCTATAGAGAGATAAGTCCCAGCGTTCTGGGATACAGACCACCCGTGCACCAGAAACACAACAGCAATCCCCGAAGATTCCCCCCCCCAGCATATGCCCGACAGCTATTTCCCCAAGACCCCCCGGCAGAGGGATCCTGGCCCCCACTCCCCATCCCCCACCCCCACCTTGCAGAGGGACCGCGGCCGCCAATCCCACGGAGGATCTGCAGCCTCCTCCATCCCCAGCGGTCCTCTCTGTCTTTTAATAGTTCTCCGGCCCCGCTCGCCACTTAAACTTGGCAGGAAAGCCGCTGAACCTCTGGGTCCTGCCCTTGGCTCCCTCCCCCTCCCTCCTCTAAGTCCTGCCCCCGGAGCCCCCCGGGGGACAGGGCGGGGCGCGCCCTACCGCGCGCTCCTGTGCACACTCGGGCTCGCGCATTCCGGGACCCTCGCGGCCGGCGCCGAGGTTGCGCGCGCCCGGCCGCCGCAAAGTCCGGAGCGGATCAGGCGGACAGCGGGCTCAGCAGCTCACCCGGCTCTGGATCCCTGGTCACGGTGCCGCAGTCATGGCTCCGCCTGGCCCTAGTTTTGGCATGGTTCTTTTTCCACCCCGGCTCCGTTAATTTTGTTTGCTGCAACTATTCCTCAGTCTGGGAAACCGAGGCAGCTTTGTGCCGGTGCAAAATGGAAATGATACCCTTCACCAGCTCTGGATTCCCATCCCAGGGAAGGAGGAGAAGGGGACCCTGGCAGCCTGGACCCTGAGATTGAGAAGTGGGTGGTCTGACCACCTGGATACCTATTTCCTCAACACTCTACCCACCCACTCAGGCCTCTCCGGGCACTTGACCACTTGGGGTTCCCTCAAAAATCCCCAGGACTTCCTTGGCCCACCCACACTTAAGAGAGCAGGCATCTTTTCTTTTATGTCCCTGTATCTATGCCTAGCTCTCCTTCCCTTCCTCTGTAACGCTGAGCCAGGCCCAGACATGGAACTTCGAAATCCAATTTACCCAACATAATGAAGTGTCTAGTGTGTGCAGTTCTGCTGGGCTTTGAGGGAAATACAGAGGTTAGACAGTCTAAACTTGCCTGGAAGGAACCTCAGATTAGTCCCTTCATTTTAGAGGAGGCCCAGAGGGGTCTATAAGAATTTGTCCAAGATCACATAACTGATAAGTAGTAAAATCAGGATTAAAATCCAACTTAGTACTCTTTCCACTACACATGAGTGAATAACCACAATACATCATAAGGGCATCAAAGAGTTACAAGAACCTTATCATTTGGCCCCCCAAGCCTTTAATCATTCCTTTTCTCCAGTCCCTCATGCATAAAATGCCCAAGTAATCCACCTTTTTGCATTCCTCTGACAGCCTCTGCCCAGAACCCTTCAGTGACTCCCCCTTGCCCACAGAATAAAAGCATCTAATTCTAAATTCATAGAACACCAAATCCAAGAACATGGACTGGAAGAGATATGATCCAACCCCTGCATTTTGCAGAAGATGGAACTGAAGCCCTATGGAAGCTGAAGGATTTGCTAAGGCCACAGCTGGTCAGTGACAGAACCAGTACTAGGTTCCAGACTGCATACATTCTAAGCCAGCAGTCTGAAGCTCCTCTTCCTGTCTCTCAAGGCTTATCTTGTTTCACCTACTGCAGGAAGTCTCTTAGATTTCTCTGCCTTATCCTACCCTCCATTAACTTAGCCAGATTGTTACATTTAAGCTCTTCTCCATCCTTTCCCATCCTTCAGGGGTTATTTTAGGTCCTACTACCCGAAGCCTCTGAACTCCCTGTGTCTCATCTCCCCAGCCAGATTTCCAGATCTGCCACACCCCCCAATCCTTGCAAGGTCTGGTGGTAGAGTAGGTGTTGCTGACCCAGGCCTGTAGAAATAAGCATTAATAAAGCTGGTGACTCTGGTCTCTGTGTTGTATCCCTTCTCCTTCCATCAATATAGAATACAGAATTTCAAGTCAGGTGATGTGTTAGAGAACATTTGGAGCCCTACCTAACTTACTGTAGAAATGGAAAAAAAAAACCAACCGCATTAATGGTTTACCCATAGCCAATAGATAGTAGGAATCAAACGGGTTCTCAGACTCCAAATCCAGTGCATTTTTCACCCTCTCCTACTCCAGAACTACAGAAAGGGGGCAGAATAGGGGATCCATCAGCTAGATCTCCCCCCACCCCGCCCACCATCCCCTATTAATTACTCATTTCTAGCTAGGGGAGCCAAAGGTGAAACTCACTAGAGAGTGAAGGGAAATCTGGTCGCCCCATCCTGTTTGGGCCCTGCCCTACTCCAGGCCGGGCTTTTCCTCTAGCTGCTGCCCTTCCCAACTTTCTCCAAAGTCGGCCAGGAGGGATCCCGAACTACAGCGAGTTAGGATCTGAGGATTGGGGGAGTTGGAGCCCAGGGGCTGGGGTTGGAACTGGAGCCAGAGCCCCAACCCAAGGGGCCGAGGGTTTGAGGGGTACCTCCAGAGGCCAGAATACCTCCTAGGAGACCAGGGCTGGAGCTTGATTTGGAGGGGGACATCTCGGGAGCTGCCAATCACTCCTGTAACCCACCTCCCTCCCTACCTTCTGCCCTTGCCACCAGGATGAGACTGATCTTAGGGTATCAAGGGTGGGGCCCAAGGGGACTGGAGCTGTGGCTGCTGCTGGTGCTAATCGGTAAAGGAGGGGTGGGGGAAGGGAGTCTCGATCTCCACCACCAGGGCTTTGTGAGGCTGCTCTGACGCCCAGAATAGCTTTAGGAGCCCTCCAACCCTCCTGCAGGGTTTGCCTCTGGGAAAACCTTAGCCTGGACCTCTTGTTGTTGAGGACTAGCTAGTCTGTCTATACCCTTGTCCCTCCACTGGTCTGTCATGGCTTGGGGGTGTCAGGGGTGTCCTTAATCTGTAGAACCTGAGATATCTTGGCAGGTGACTTTGCTTTTTGGGGTAGGGGGTACCTGTTCTGTTCCTGGGCCCTTGTGGGGGGGCATGGGGAAGCGGGGGAAGAGTGTAAGCTCCATCTCTAATCGAGTCTGAGCCTTGGGGGTGGGAGTTTCCCCTTTGACCCTCTTTAACTGCACCCCCTCCCCTCCTTAGTGCTGGCCAAGGCTGTGGTCCAGAACCCTGACCTGCCTTCAGCTGGCTGTTCCAGGGGAAGCTGCTACCCAGCCACCGGAGACCTCTTGGTTGGCCGAGCAGACCGACTGACAGCCTCATCCACCTGCGGTCTGAGAGGTCCTGAGCCGTATTGCATAGTCAGTCACCTACAGGTGGGTCACCACAGGTGGAGGAATGGGGAAGAGTGGATCAGAAATATCTTTGGAAGAGGGGGGAGCTAGATTGGAGTGTTGACCCATGGGCTGGGAGAGCAAGGCTGGGGAGAGAGACACAGTGGTGAGACATAGAGAGATGGTATGGAAAGAGCCCTGGGATTTGGTATCAGAGGTCCTCAGTTTGAACTCTGCCTCTGCTACTTACAGCGAATGTGACTCTGGACAAGTCACTTCCTCCCCCTCCCCCTTTTTCTTCTTTATAAAACGAGGAGGTAAGGGTCCTTAAGTCCCACTCAGCTTTCATATTTTTTGATTCTATGACTGATCTTTGGGGGTGCGGGGGTTCCTCCAGGATGAGAAAAAGTGTTTCCTGTGTGACTCTCAGCATCCGTTCTCTGCCCGCCACCCTCAAAGCCACCGAATCCAGAATGTGGTCACCAGCTTTGCCCCACAACGACGGTCAGCCTGGTGGCAATCAGAAAATGGTGAGACCACCTGGGCAGGTGTCACTGGGCAACTTGGGAAGGAAGACCTGGGCACTAATAGCCTGAGGGGTGGGGAGAGTTCAAATACCACCTGTCCAAAAGTGGACAGTAGAGCTGGGTGCTAATGGCCTGAGGGAGGGAGACCTAAACATTGGGGACTAACTAGCCTTAGAGGGGACAAAAAAGGTGACCTGGCTGCTATCAGCCTTTGGGGAGGAGGGAGGAGTCTTCATGCCTGGCTGTTTCCAATGTTTCCCACCAGGAGTGTCCACTGTCACTATCCAGCTGGACTTAGAGGCTGAATTTCACTTTACCCACCTTATTATGACTTTCAAGGTAATAGGGCTCCTAAGGTAGAAAGGATGGAAATTAGGGATTGAACTCCCTTAGGGCCAGGATCCCTGTGACCTATGATCTTTCTCATCTCTGTAGCTCCTATGATAGCCAACTACCCTATGACCCTATATGACCCTTGACTTCCCTTCTTACTCCTGTGGCCATCATATAAAAAGCCTATGATCTGTGGGACTTATCGGCTGTATTACCTTGGACAAACTAACAATCTTCTTCATGTCTCAGTTTCCTCATCAGTAAAATAAAAGAGTTGGATTAGAGATCCTTTCCAGTTTATAATCCTATGATCCTAGCAACCCCCTTGTGATACCCCACAGTTCCTATGACCTCCCTATGATCACGCATGACCACCTATTCACCAGTAACAGTATCTCTGAAGGCCCTCTGATCCACCCTCACGACTCCCCTTCCCCTTAACAACTCCAGACGTTCCGCCCAGCTGCAATGCTGGTTGAACGCTCCTCAGACTTTGGGAGGACCTGGCGTGTCTATCGCTACTTTTCCTATGACTGTGGCTCTGACTTCCCTGGGATCCCTCTGGCCCCACCTCATCGAGTGGACGATGTGGTCTGTGAGTCTCGCTACTCGGAAATTGAGCCATCCACTGAGGGGGAGGTGAGAGAGCCCAGCCCACAGAGTCATTTTGAGGAGGGAGGTGGGGTGGGATGAGGGTATCCCAAGGGTCCAGGGGAAGGAGCCTCAGGGTTGTTGGGACGTGACTGGTCAGCCCTGGCTACCCCTCCAGATTCAGTATCTCCATAGGTCATCTACCGTGTTCTGGACCCAGCCATCCCAATCACAGATCCCTATAGTTCCCGGATCCAGGGTGAGTATGGCAATAGCCCCATTTCGTAGATCCCTTTATGACCCTCCTCCTTGTTTCCTATGGGCCCCAATCTGGCATCTGGCTGGTGGCTATTCAGGGCTGTAAGGGCTATTTTGGCTTCTTCCTGCGTCCCCCAGAGCAGGTGCTACAGCCTTGGTTTAGCTCTAAGCTGGGTGGGGGCAGCATTTCTGAACATGACAGCAGCAGCTGGAGGTCCCCACCCCAGATGCCTCTGTCTCCAGGAAGTCTGCCGTTCATTGGAACAAAAGGAAGCCCAGGGCATCAGGGTCCCTTCCCTTCTCTTTCTACCCAACCCCCCAGTCACCGTGGACCTCAGAGAGAATGTCCTCACTCTGGGCTTGGTTAGAGGATCTCCCAGGATGTCAGGGAGCGCAGAACATTAGAATACCATTCTCTCTAAACCCCAGGGACAGGGTTCTCACTCTGGGCTGGGATATGGGGAGCTTTGGACTCCGTGTCCATTCCTCCATTGCTTCTCCCCTACCCCAGACCTACTGAAGATCACAAACCTTCGGGTGAACCTGACACGGCTGCACACTCTGGGCGACAACCTGCTGGACCCCCGGAGGGAGATCCGAGAAAAATATTATTACGCTCTCTACGAGCTGGTGGTTCGTGGGAACTGCTTCTGCTATGGTCATGCCTCCCAGTGTGCTCGGGCTCCTGGTGCTCCAGCCCATGCTGAGGGCATGGTGAGAATGGCTGTTCAGTAAATAGGGGGTGCAAAGATATGCTCATAGGGGTAATGGGGCGCCAAAGTTTTCAGTGCTTAGGAGACAAGACCCCCTTCAAAGCAGCCTACAACCTCTTCTCTAGGTACATGGTGCCTGTGTTTGCAAACACAACACAAAGGGGCTGAACTGTGAAAGCTGCCAGGATTTCTACCATGACCTGCCCTGGCGCCCAGCTGAGGATGGCCATTCCCATGCTTGTAAAAGTGAGTCCCCATCTTGCCAGCTCCCTGGCTGGAGTGCCCCACCCCCAGCCATTTTGTAATTCTAGCACTTCTCCCCCCAAACCCCCTACACACACACACACACACACACACACACACACACACAGCCTCTGGATGGAGGTGGAGAGGACATTTTCCTGATGACTGCTTAGTCAAAGAAAGATGGGAAGATCAGAAAGTCTCGTTGGGTGTTGAGGGACCAGCCAGGATGTAAGTTAAAAGACTATGGGGGTTTTGTATTTCTTGTCTTCTCAATGAGTAGGAGAGGGGTTGGGGAAGGAGAGAACCAGAAATTGAAAATAAAATAAAATTGAAGAGGGGGAGGAAAAAAGATCATTGTACCTAGTGATTGAAGGTCAAGGGTAAGAGGTCCAAAGGACAGGAAACCAAACCAAGGAATTTCCATGAATAAAAAGCAGTGTAACTTAGGGTTCTATTTCTGTTCTGTTCAGCCCTCTTAGCGACAGAAACATGTTAGCTAAACTCGTCCACTCTTAGAATATGATTGCCTATTAAGGGAGGAAATGGGGCAGAGAGGCAGGGAAAGGCTTTGCCCAAGACACAGTGCCCTCTGCCATCCCTGGGGAGCATTGCCACCGCGTCCCAGGGGGAGGAAGCCCATAGGACGTTTTCTCTCCAAGCATCTCCCCTCCTCCCACAGAGTGTGAGTGTCACCAACACTCCCGGACCTGCCACTTTGACATGGCTGTGTTTCTGGCCTCTGGCAACGTGAGCGGAGGTGTGTGTGACAATTGCCAGCACCACACAGCTGGGATGCACTGTGAAATCTGCCGGCCTTTCTACTATAGAGACCCCGCGAGGGATTTGCGGGACCCGGCTGTATGCCGCCGTGAGCCTGGGGTGGTGAATAGAAAGTGTGGGGGGTGGAGGGAGGCTTGTGGAAGAAGCCAGGGGTCTTGGGGTGACTCTCTTCATTGCCCTGCAGCCTGTGATTGCGACCCTGCGGGGGCCCAGGATGGTGGCCTTTGTGACCCTCACGATGAC